GCAAAAGGGAGTAGGTCCGTCCAATTTGTTTGCTGAAAATTAATAAAGCATCTTAAATATTGCTCAAGTACTGAGTGACAGCGTTCTGTTTGTCCATCCCCTTGTGGATGATGGCTAGATGTCAGTCCCTGAGTGGTCCCTAAGAGGGATAAAAATTCCTTCCAAAATGAAGACATTAATTGCACTCCCCTATCAGAGATGATGCGTTGGGATGCCCCATGCAATCTGTAAATGTGCTGGATGAAAAGTTTCGCTAAGGCTTTTGTGGTGAGAATCTTTTGGCAAGGGATAAAGTGCACCTGTTTGGAAAACAAGTCCATGACCGTCCAGACAACAGTATTCCCATTGCTTTCTGGTAATTCCACTATAAAATCCACGGCTATTTCCCTCCAGGGGGCTGAGGGATTTGCCACTGTTTGTAACAGTCCGGGTGACTTCCCTTGCAACCTCTTTGCAGTTGCACACTTTGGGCAGCTGGCCACGTAACTTTTTGTGTCCTTTTTTATGGATGACCACCAAAATTGTAATGTTTTTACAAATCCAAAGTGCCCTGATGATTTTGTGTTGTGGTAAAGCTGCATGAATGTGACTCTTTGGGCTGTTGGTATATATAACTTTTCCCCCACCCAAGGCAACCCGTCTCTCATTGTGCACACATTTTTGTTTTTTTCTGGAACTATTCATCTGTTTCCAAACTTTTCTGGAATTCAATTCCAGTTTGGCTGCCCAGCTGTGGTTTTAATTTAGCTTGTGCTCTGGTGGTTACTGGCGCTGCTAGTTGTGATTCTACCATCATCTGTTTAGAGTCGGTGGCTACCGACTCTAAACAGAGTCGGTAGGAAGTTCTTTCCCCCCGGCAAATGCTTGAGCGTAAATTGGAACTGGTGAAAATGCTGGGACCAGCGGGCTTGCTTGGGGTTGAGCTTCCTGGGTGTTCTCAGGGCTTCCAAATTTTTGTGTTCAGTCCACAGCTGGAAAGGGATTTTGTTGCCTTCAGGGAACTGGTGCCACATGAGTAATGACCAACGTATCCCGTATGCCTCTTTCTCCCATACGGGCCAGCGCTGTTCCATTTCTGTGAGTTTCTTGGATGTATATGCACAGGGTTGCAATACCCCCCACTGCCACATCACTTGCATCCGCCTGTATTACGAAGGGCTTATCCATGTCTGGGTGCCTCAGTACTGGTTTGGCAGAGAAAAGTCTCTTTAATCTCTCAAACGCTGCTTGGCACTCCATTGTCCATGTTAGTGGCTGGCTAGGTTTTACTGAGGATGCTCCCTTCATTTTTAATAAGTTCATGAGGGGCAGGGCTATCTGGGAAGGTGGTAAAAGTTTGCAAAGCCTAGGAAACTTTGCAGTTGCTTTCTTGTGCGGGGTGGTTCCCATTCTAATACTGCTCTGACCTTCTCTGGGTCCATTTCAATGCCCTGTGGGGATATGCGATAACCTTTCCTGGTGGAATTCGTATTTCGAGATTTTGGCATATAGGTGGGTGGCTTGCAATTTCTTTAAGACCGCTCTAACTAGGTTGACATGTTCCTCTTTTGATTCGGTGAAGATAAGAATGTCGTCTAAGTAAACCAGGACCCCCTTAAATAGGTGCTCCCTTAAAACATCATTGATTAATTGCATAAATACTGTGGGGGGCCCTTTTAATCCAAATGGCAAGACTTTGAATTGGTAGCACTCCATGGGGCAGTTAAATGCGGTCTTCCATTCATCCCCTTCCTTAATTCTCATGCGATAGTAAGCTTCCCTTAGATCTAGTTTAGAAAAAAAATTCCTTTTCAAGAAGTGTGACAACATGTCCTTCATGAGGGGCAGAGGGTATAGGTTGCTTTCACTGATTGTTTTCAGGGCCCTATAATCCACACATAAGCGTAAAGAGTCGTCCTTCTTCTCTCTAAAGAGGACCGGGGCAGCCATTTTAGGCTTGGCTGGCTCAATGAATCCCCTTTCTAGGCTTTTCTTTATGAATCTTTCCATTTCCTCCTTCTCCTTTGGGCTCATGGAGTATAATCTGGGCTTTGGGAGTTTTGCCCCAGGCTTGAATTCAATGGCACAGTCTGTGGGTTGGTGGGGGGGAGCTCATCCACCCTCTCCTCACTGAAAACCTCAGCAAGGTCTCTGTATTCCTCTGGTATTTCTGGTAGTCCCTTTTCCTCTCCCATGGATGCTTTTTCTGTTCTTGATTCTGGTAGCCCCCCTTGGGATTTTAAGTCCATAGGATCCCCCTTCAGGAGTTTGATTTCTGCCATCCTCCAATTCACCCAGGGGTCCCATTTTTTTTAACCATTCAATCCCTAGGATCATTGGGCATTCCATGCCTGGGGTCACCACAAATGTTATATCTTCCTCATGTTTGCTCAGGGAAAGGTGTATTGGTAAAGCGGCAAGGGTGGCTGGCACCCCCCCTGCTATGGACCCATCTAACTGGCTTGGATTCTGAAAAAATCACTATGATGTTGATAATTATAAAGAGAAGAGGCATCCCATGCGCTCTTTCTGTCCCCAGATTTGTCTTGTGATTTCAGGAAAAAGGGAACAGGGGAGGAAAACATGTTTGTGAGAAGCCTCTGATGTAATTCCAGAAGTGTTTGAAAGCCAATGGGCCCAGGTTTCTCCAGTCAAACTGTTTTGTCAAAAATTATGGAGAAATCAATCATCATCATCATCCCCCAGTGAGGCACTTCCTTGACATGATTGTGGGGCTTGTGTACTCTGAGGAAGATGAGAGGTATGCCAGAGGTTCAGCCATACTGAACAGGTCTCATCAGAGGAGTCAGACAAAGAGTATCTCTACCATAAAAAATATGGTGAGTCGTAAATTTCAGAAAGCCATACGAGCTCAGATGTCGACTGGGTTAACAAGGTCCATGCTAGATGTTGGAGTTCCTGGATATCTGGTGAAAAATGGATTACAGGACTCAGGACTGTTGGCTGAGCAACCAGGGCCAACAGCTGCAGAACTACTGGAAGAAAAGATGTTTACCTGTCGCAAATACACAGTGATTGAAAACAAAGAAATAATGATCTGTTATTATAGATCAAGTCCAACAAAAAGAGGATATCTAAAATGAATGCACCTGTCCTGGAAAGAACAACATCCAGAATCAGAAATAACAGAACAGAGACTAGCAGATCAATGCTGATTTATAATATGAAATAAAGTATTCAGAGAAACAGAATTGGGTGGACTGCAAAGGTTTACCCAAGGGCAAAGAAATCAAAGCCTTGCCAGAAGTAATTCAGAATATAGAGGCAAACAAGGGGGAGTTGGCAGTGAAGGAATCCAGCAGAGATATACAACTGTTCTCATTTGGAAACCAGGCACCTCTTCCTCAGGAAGAACAAAACCCTCTAACTAAAGAAATAAAAGATTGAAACAAAGAATAACTGAGCATCTAGAACAGCACAAAAACAACCTAATAAGGTTGCCTGCATGAAGCATGTTCAAAGAAACAGCTAGCACAAGCATTAAAAGATGCAAACTGCAATATCAAGTATAAGCATCAATTCACTGCAAGAAACAAACCAACTAATGTACAGCACAGCTGCAGTTATAATGAATACCTGGGATGCAAAATCAACAAAGAAGAAAAAAAAACACAGTGCACCACAAAAATGGAAGGTTAGACTGGAAAATAAGATCAGCAAGTTAAGATCAGATGCAAGCAAGCTAGAACAGATGAAAGAAAAGAAGCTGAAGAACAAGAAGACCAAAGAATACCTAATGAAGAAATACCACTTAGAAACAAGGAAGATCAAGGAAGCACTGGAAATAATAAAGCAGCAAATAATAGCTATAGCCAGGAAAATCAGCAGATACGAAGCTCAAATTGCAAATTATAGGCAGAACCTCCAATTTCAATCCAATCAGAAATGTTTCTACCAATCCATCAATGGAGAAACTGCAATGAATCAGTCAATACATGACAAGGAAGAAACAGTGCAGTTCTGGAAGCAGATATGGGATAACCCAAAGAAATACAACAGGGATTGTATTATTGTTATTTGCTTTATTATTTCCAGTGCTTCCTTGATGTTCCTTGAGCATGTGCAAGGTGGGAGACTAGCCTTGCATTGATAGGCTGATGCTGTCCCTGCAAGGGAAGTATAAAAGGGCCAGCGCCATTTTGTTTGTTGTTCTGTTCTGTTTGTGATCTCAATAAAGAAGTTGTGTTTTGTTACTCCTGCCTCGCTTCGATGTCTCTGAGTCTAAAACAGAACAGTCTTTTTGTCTCTTCTCTTCTCTTCTCTTCTCTTCTCTTCTCTTCTCTTCTCTTACCTTATCTTTTTCTCTTATTTGTTCCCATTTCCTTATTTTCCTTATTTTTCTTTTATGTTTCCTTAATTTTTTAATCTTATGTACAATCTTTAGTAAAATATATTATTTTGTAGAATATATAAAAGCAAGATAGCAGAGTCTGTCATAATGCTAGCCTTCTCTCTTTTGCAGGTGCATGTAATGCTCCATTCACCAACTTTCCTCCTTCTCTCCCATGGATAGCACTGTCTCCTATCAAATTGCTGACCTGTGTTTTCCAACTGAAACTGGATCCTGAAACTTCTTTGGGGATGTGGTCTTATGTCACCTGCTTCTTGAACAGCTGCCCATCCTGGCTCTTAAGAGCAGCTACAGATGTAACCACTTCACCCTCATAATACAAAATATATGAGTTAGTTTATTTTATTTGTTTTAAATATTAAATGAAATTTTTAAAATTGGTTAAGAACAGAACACAAATAAACATTGCACACTGTTATTAGAGGACAAAGAAAAAAGGAAAAGAAAAAAAGAAAGAATAAAAATATACAGGGGTTTAGTGACAGATCCATACTCATATATAAAGTTGTACACAAATATTTTCATGCATAGTACAATACTTTCTTATAAGCACCCATAATTGTATTGATGAGAAACCATGGAGTGTTCAGAAGATGAGAGAAAAAGGCAATTATTTGTTTTGGGCTTGCTCAGGGAAACACAATGAGAGCTATACTTTGGTTTTTGTGGTTAGCTGCTCCTTTGTATTCAGCTCAGGCCTCAGCAAAATAATATAGCTCTTGGGGAAAAAGATGCAGCTCAACAAGCCAGCACTGGAGGCTAAGATGGAGAAGATCTGCACAGCCACCATGTATTTGCCCTTGGTGCTCAGGTAGGTGGGCACAAAGGAGACCCAAACACTACAAAAGACCAGCATGCTGAAGGTGATGAGCTTGGCTTCATTAAAGGCCCCAGGCAGCCTCCGGGCCAGGAAAGCCACAGTGAAGCAGACAACAGCCAGGAAGCCCATATAGCTAAGGGCAGAGTAAAACATGATAGCAGGTCCTTCATTGCACTGCAGGACAATCTCTGCAGGGTGGGAGTGCTTGTCTGTATCAGGGAAGGGAGGAAAGATTGCCAGCCAGATGGAACAAATCAGAACTTGGACAGCAGAGCAACCAAGAACAAGAGCATTGGCCAACGTCTTCCCGAGCCACCGCCTCATTCTGTTTCCTGGTTTTGTGGCCAAGAAGGCCAGTACCACTGTGATGGTTTTGGCTAAGAGGGAAGAAACAGCTATTGAGAAAATGATAATGAATGCTGCTTGTCGGACAAGGCAAGTAATTTTTCTTGGTTGACCAATGAAGAGAAAGCTAGTGAGAAATGAAAGGAGCAGTGATGTGAGTAGAATGTAGGAGAGATCTCGGTTGTTAGCTTTGACTATTGGAGTTTCGTGGCATTTAATGAAAATTGCTAAGACAAAGGCTGTGATGAATGACAAAAATAGAGCAAAGGAAGCCAGAATGATCCCCAAATATTCTCCATATGACAGGAAGGTGATATCCTTTGGAAGACAGCAGTCTTGACTTTCATTTGGATGCTGATCTTCCAAGCATCTGGTGCAGTGGTCTGCATCTGCAAAGATAAACTCTCTCTTATTCGTTGCTAATAATCTCTTAGTTGTACTAACAGGAAGTCAATTGGAAAAATCTGGAGGCCTTCTTTAATGACCATGGAGGGCCTTGATTTGAACACAGAAAGGGCTGTACTGGATGAAATAATGAGGCCACTAAAAGCAATAAATTGTATTTAGGGGAATCACAGGTAAGGGTTTAGTGTAGAGAGCGATTTGTGTTTTGAATTTCACATGCTATACTTTGACCTACAGATATAATAATTTTCACGCAGTCTTTCTCTGAGGCCTAAGCATTCTTTTCAAGGTTTCCCCCAGGGTAAAATATTTGAGAAAGGCAAAAGCAGAAAATCAGTTGGCCTTTTGGAAGCAATTATTGCTACTGACCAGCCAATTTTTGAGCCAATAGTTGCTGAAAATCTTCTTAAGGACCAGCAGAAGGAATAATGCACGATCAAATATGTCATCAGGACCAGAGGTTTTATCTTTTGAGCTTTTGGACTTGTGCTGTAGCCCATCCTCAAGAGAAATCTGAAAGCTCAGAAGACTAAACTTCTGGTTGCGATGACAGACCAAGATTGGATCATGCAACATTATCCTGAGACATGTACATTTGCCTTCATTCATGAGAAGAAATAATATAGATATTAAGTGTAAGTGCTAGGAAGATTATTTCAAAAGCTCAATCAAGTGAAAACACAGGAACAAACAGATGCAGAAGGATGTTTTTAAGTTAAAATTATTATGATAAAAATGTAATGCACACTAAAAAAGAGAAAGAAAAATAGAAGATACAAAAAATTAAAAAGAGAAAAAATAAAATATTGCATACAACAATAAATGTATATAAAGAAATGATTTTACATTTTGTCATAATAAGTATAAACCATTTTAGTATTCTCATATTTCATCTCTGATCTATAAAGAAATCCCTAAAAACTTTGTCATTTCAGTACTGATCAGCAAAAGTCTAGAGGTAAAAACATATCCATTTTCACCTTGATCAAATAAACCAATTTTATATTTCTCCTTTTCCTTTTAACAATCTTGAACTTTAGACCTTTCAAATAATGTCCTAAAACCTTATTTCTTTCTTTTTTTTTTTTTGCCTCGTCTCACAAAATCCTTCAAAGGTTTCACAAGTCTCTTTTGTAAGTCCAATATAGGGAGATTATTGAAATCACCCTCTTGGTTTTCACCCTTTTAATTACTAAAACAACAGCTGGTTTCTTTGGTATGTTCATTGTATCATCTTTTTCTGTATTTTTCTTATAATTTGTCATTTTTACATACAGATCAGTCTTAGGTTTTTCTGGTAAAACCTGTCCCTCTTCCATAACATCTTTGAAACACTGTCTATCTATAGAGACAATCTCAAAATTAACTTAAGGCTGCATTGTTGAAAAATACCCTTCAGTATGTCATGTTAAAATGTTTTGTTCCATTTTGTATTAGTGTGTAATATTAAATGTTCTTGTTCTTCATTGTAATCTTTACCTTTTTCTCATTCCTTTTAAGGTCCAACCTTCAAAGTATTGTCATATCATTTTTTTTAAAGAATTAAAAACAAAAGTATTTTCCCATGGGAAAGATTCTTATACTCATTCCAAAATTGTATTTCAAATGTACATGGACTCTCAGTCCATTTGTAATTTTCTAAAATCAAAATTTTAATTAACTGTTTGCTGTTTATTCCAGAAAAAAATTAAGTCCTTAAACTTTTTTTTTTAACTTTTTTGTTGTAGAAAACTGTTCACTTGATTGCTGATCTAGTTTGGTTGCTGGTCTGTTTGTTTGTCTAGCAATCAAATTAACAATACCTCAGTCAAGGAATTACCAACACAGACAAAAAGCTGGTAGTAAACAACAGCCTAATGAAGGAACCACTAAGAACACTGAACTAACCAACAAAGCTTAAAGAAAGACTGGCAATAGCTGTGCACATATGGTAGCATTTAAACTTTATATTCGATATAAGCAACTTAGGCATCAGGACAGACTACTGTGATTCTTGTTCAGAATCTAGTTATTGATGACCGTGGCATGGTAACTGACTAAGAACATGTCTCTCACTCAGTTCATGACCCTGATGTCTGTCATAAATTTTGGAATTTGGAATTACTTTGGAATTCACTTTCACCCAGCTAAAGTTTTGTCTGCTGCTTCCTTCTTTTTGCCTTTTACTCTACCAACTCCTGCTCCCCTTTTGTTGGAATTTTCAAAAACAAGTCTATCTCTTAACACTGTGTCTGCCCAGGGATTGTGTTTGGCTTCTACAAGGATGCTAAGAAAGGCAGGATGCAAAACTACTCTTGACTGAGTCCATGGGTGTGAGTATGTGTCAGCAATCATCAGACCCAGAGAAATTCATGACTACTTGAATACAGTGCAGGCATGTGCTGCATTCATGCTCCTATGTGCTCCAGCAATCTTCTGAAGTTTCTTTTTTTGACCCATTTGCACAGTCCCAATATCAGTCTGAAACAAGAATTTGTGTACCACTTCAAGGGGCAACACTTGGTCATGTCACATAAAGCCCCAAATTTGTGTACCACTTCAAAGGGCAACACATGGCCATAGATTGCTGATATGCTGCCATGTCACATAAAGCCCCAAATCATTTCTTGCTCATATTTTTGAAATAACTGAATTCATAAAATTCAGCTTATTGGCCTCTTTTTCAACAGCCTGTTTTCCTTCCTGAGCCACTCACCTTCCTGAGTGGAGATGGTTCCCTTTGCACAAGGAATGCAATCATAGCAGCAAACCGGTCGCCCTCGCTGAACCACCTTGAGGAACCCAGGTCGGCATCTTTCCACACATCTGGAAGAAGGCAGGGTCTAAGCAGAAAACCAAGAAAAGATGTGCTCATTTACAAACACTAGAAAGTTGCTGATGTGTGGTAAAATTTTAATATAATATATATTTCCTGAAATATACTTATTTTTTTCATTCAAATCTTGACAACTGCATCATACATGAAATACGTTGCATTATACAGTGTCTCAAATGGCCATCGGGATAGTAAAGCTCAAAAGAGATAACAAAATTTAGGGTACCTCAAATAGAATTTTTCAATATTTATATAATATAGGTAATATATAAGGAAGTGACATAGAGTGACTTTTCTTCCCCACCTGGTTGAACCATTTGGGCCATACTATGGCTTCTTCGTCAATCTTGAATTCAGGCTCCGAGGAAGCCTGTCTTGCAATGCTCCCAAATTTCATACTGACAACAGAGTTATTTGAAAACTTCACCCAGTTCACAATATCCAAATCAGCTGCTAATTCACCATTCTCATTCAAATATATTCCATCGATGGAAGTGTTGTAAAACTGAGAATCTTGCAAGAAAGGGTGAAGCTGGAACAGCAGAGAAGAAATCTAAGTTTAGTACAGATGGACAGCGAATCTCTTGAGCAGTCCCATAATATTTGAAATCGTTGCTTTTAATTAACCTTGTTCATATAGCTTATATATTTTGAACCGTTTTCCTTTCTTATAAAATTAATGGTCTAGGGTCTTCAGAAATGAGATCCATGTGGTTATCTTCTGAACACATTTTCTTCCAGACCGAGGGTGTGGCTGACATTCTGTCCTTTACAAAGACATTTCAGATTGTTTTAAGCCACAAAGTAAATAGTAATAGTAGTAAATTTGGAAGGGACCTTGGAGGTCATCTAGTCCAACCCCCTGCTCAGGCAGGAAACCCTACACCATTTCGGACAAATGGCTGTCCAGTCTCTTCTTAAAAACTTCCAGTGTTGGAGCATTTACTGCTTCTGGAGGCAAGCTGTTCCACTGATTAATTGTTCTCACTGTCAGGAAGTTTCTCCTTAGTTCTAGGTTGCTTCTCTCCTTGATTAGTTTCCACCCGTTGCTTCTTTTCCTGCCTTCAGGTGCTTTGGAAAATAGCTTAATTCCCTCTTCTTTATGGCAGCCCCTGAGATATTGGAATACTGCTATCATGTCCCCCCTTGTCCTTCTCTTCGTTAAACTAGACATACCCAATTCTAGCAACCATTCCTTATATGTTTTAGCCTCCAGTCCCCTAATTATCTTTGTTGCTCTTCTCTGTACTCTTTCTAGAGTCTCAACATCTTTTTTACATCATGGTGACCAAAACTGGATGCAGTATTCCAGGTGTGGCCTTACCAAGGCATTGAAGAGTGGTATTAATACTTCACGTGATCTTGATTCTATCCCTCTGTTAATGCAGCCTAGCACTGTGTTGGCCTTACATAAGATAGGGTCTTTTTGTTTGGAGTATTATTTCTGTCTATATACTACTAAGCCTTGCCTGTTTGTCTTTGTATAATCTTTTACTGGGTGAAACAGTTCATCCTAGGGGCACAGTTTATGAACCACGGTAATTCAAATGGTCTAATACACAAAATGCATGCAAAATCCAGAACTCCATGACCCCTGTGAAACTGATATTTTACAAATTTTATAAAACAGTTTATCACATAAAATTATCCTATAAATTTCATGGCATAAATACCATACAACTGCTGATGGTTGACTGTGCTACAGTTGAATATGGGCTATCTTCAATCAGATGCGTCTCTGAATAGTTACCTGAATTTTTAATAACTTGTCCAGTGAAGGGAATAATTAGAAATTCTACCATTTTTGAAGAAATTAAGGAATCTGCTAAGGAAATATCTCTGAAATGATGCAACAGGTTGTAGATTGCCTAGTTTCAACTATCTCATGGATATTTATACGTGCTTATCTGGAACACTGTAAATTGCCATGAATCCTGTGTTATAGATTGTATTTGGAGATATTAAAGTTTCCAGTGAATATGGCCAACTAACGGAAGGTTTTTCAATTCTACAAAACAAGGAACCTGAGCTTATATGACTCTCCTGGGTTAGGGAGATTCTCAGAATCATCCCACAAGATCCTCCATATGGTGGCAATCTGCATGGAGAATCTGGAGCAGTGCCCCAAAGTAGTCAGATAAGCCATCCAGCTGGGGGCCAGGGGCGAGGGATGCAATCCCTTTGTTGTTTAAAAAGCAGATGTTTGGGGATTTATTTTGGAAATGGGCAAAATATCATATCTTTCACTTCTTGAACACTTCGATTATTGCTTTTACTAGGCTAAAAGAGGTTGTTTTCAGTCCAGCTGATCTATGGAAACCTTTTTTAAAAAATTGTCTTTGACCACAAGAGAGAGCTAAAGAACAAAGAAGATGAAGAAATATCAAAGTTTTTTTAATCAGACAGAGATTGCAAAAATTATTTGAGATTGCAAAAATTATTTTGGAAGAGTATTTAAATAAAATAATTCACTTTATAAATCAATTATGTTCCAAAGATGCTATGAAAGAGAAACAAGAGGAACAAATTACTCCAGTAATTTGAAAGATGAGCAATTGAGAGATACAACCAAGTGCAGAAAGTTATCAAACCACTGAGGCTACTGCACAAGTATTTGACAATTCAGACAAACTGAAATGTTGGAATATAAATCTGATACCAGCAGTATTTATTATGAAGGTGAATATAACTCCCCAGTGCAATTGAAAGAAGAAAAGCTGCAAATAAATCAATAATCCTGAAAAGAACAAAGTGGGGATCTCCACTTCAAAATCAAAATGGAAATGGACAGCACTGAGATATTTGTTTTAAAAGTCATATTGGAGACTCTCTTGAGAAAAAGAAAAGTTTATATCTATTTAATATACATTCCAGAGAAGGAAAAGATTGTATTTTACGAAATGAGATTGGAGAGAATGACTTAAATTTAATGTTAATTGAAGTTAGGATGGATTTTCTATTGGTTTGATATACGCAATTAAAAGAAAGTTCCAATGCATTGTTTTGTGCTTATAAAGTGGGTATAAAAATTGTAACTGAAAATTAATTTGGGAAGTGTTTTTGTTTAAGAGGAACAGGGGAAGAAAATGAAATGTTGATCTTTCTTTTATTCCACTTTTTAAATATAACACTGGAGTAATTCTTAAAGTTTGCAAAACGTTATTGAAAGTGAGTTTGAAAGTACATATGTGCAAAGGAAACTAAAAAGAGGCATTAGAATTGATTACAAAGATGAAATTTTTCAAAAATGTTTAATCTTAAAATGGATCTAAAAAGGTTAAAGGTTAACAAATTTGAAAGTGCTTAGTGATTTTTTGTTAATTCAGATGATGATGGTTTAGAAAGATTAGTATAGTAAGTGTAAATGGTAGGAGAAGGAACTTTGGAAAGAGTTATAAGTCAACACCTTTCCCCCTTCCTCTTATTTTCCTACATCTTGCATTTATAATCTTTTTTTTTTTGCATTTATGCTACAATGAATGTTAATAACATATCACAGAATTTTTTTTGACAACATCAGTAAATAACCCATGCCCCATTGGAATCAACATATTCTGTTTCTAAAGATTCTGGAATTGCCTATGTATTCCACATATTCAGAAGGAATCCATTGTGATGGAAAAGGGAATACCTGCCATGGCTGGATAATTTGCAGTACTGGTATCTCTCCACCACCTTTCACTTTCCTCCTCTTGGATCGGGAAGAATAAGCTGCATCCAAGGCCCCTGCCAAGGCCTGGACAGTATAGTAAGCATGAGAGGTGTCTAGAGACAAAGTTTTTTCAATCTCTTTTTGGGAAAAGGTCCCCACTGCCTCTTTCTCGGTGCATCTTGTCCAGCCTTTCACAGTAGAGGCAGCCTTGGAGTACAAGCAATGAAATGCTTTCTCTGCGAAGTAATACAGAGAAGTAAAAAGAGAAAGGATATCATATTTTATCTTTATCTTTTTCTGGATGAGGAAAGAGAAGAAACCCTGAATGTGTGTCTGGGATATGACACCATATGCCAGGTCAAATGTGAGGTCCCACAAAGCTGTTGTGATAATGACCTTCCCTGTGGATGTTAGGGATTCCACAACATATGATTCTGCATACAATATTGAGATTTCAGTTAATTTCTCTATTACCATTATTCCATCTAAAAAGAAACCAGCTTCTGAAAAATAAATAAATACATTGACCTGTTTCCACTTTTTTATTGAGGCAGCATCCACCTTTATATTTTCAGTATTCATTCCTGATAAGGTTTGTGAGAAAACAACACAAATCCCTTTCTTGAACAGCACTAGCACCATCGTTGCTATGAAATCCTTGCCATTGTCAGTGTCTGGAGCAAAGAGACCAACTGATGTCCATTGGAAATGCAGAAGCAATTCAAGTATGCCCAGATATTGGACTCCTTCTTTGGGGACGATAGTGTAGAAAAAGGGGAACTGTGTTTTATCACCCAGAAGATGGGAAATAAAAGAATAATTGACCTGGTAAAGAGAAGAACTTGGTGAGTGATTCACTTTCAGGAAAGTATTTATTACTGTTTTGCGGCCAAACTCTTGGTAGTATGAATGTCTTCTCAGAATTTCAGATATACTGTTTTTAGCATAGATTACTCTATTTTTATTCATGACTGTTACTACTGTCTTCAGGCCATTTGACTCCTAAAATCCTCAATAATCCAAACATTTCAGCAACATGATCCTTGGAGACCCAGAGTGCTCTCCTTATACCCTATTAAGTTGGATCCCCCATTAATGAGATGTGATCACCAGAGATCAAAAACTGTCTTATGCTGTATCTGTCATATCACTATCTCATCTTCCTCTATATCTAACCTATTCTTGGAATTTATAAGGTCTTCATTTGCATTTCTATCGTATTATCTATTATTTCCTTCAGTTGTTATTGAAGAATACATTTATTTTGATCTGTAAATAAACTCTTAATAGTTACCCATTAATGCTGACTAGCCAGATTCCAGCTAATTAGACCCCCCCCCCAGGTATAACTCTTTAAGTGGAATTAAAGAAGAGACTTTCTCACCTGGGGGATTTTGTAGTTACTTGACATTAATGAAATCTGGATGGAAATGTCCGTTTCTGTCCCTTCAATTATAGCTAAGAGGTTATTCTGTCTTCCTTTGCACTTGTAGTTTGGAACATTTGCCAGCCCAGGAGAGAGTAGATCTACCAAAGCTTCTGATGTTGTTCTGGCATCAAAATGATTGTCATGAATGTTGTAGCCCAGGGTGAGGTTGGGTAAGATACAGGGATCCTGGTTGATCTCATGGACAGCAAACAAGAAGGACAAGATTTTCCAGTACTTTGTAGTTGCTTTCCTGAAAATACAAGCACAAATATGTAAGTACATAAGTGATAAGTTATATGACTTTACATCAAATTAAAGTTATGTATTCAGAACTTTTTTTATTCTCTTGGTTTATCTAAAAAATAGAAAACTTCAATTTCTAGGAGATGCCAAAACTGATCCAGAATTACAGTGACTTAATATCTGATGTCCTGGGGAGTTGATTTGAAGTTCTGTTCTCAGGACGTTTAAATCATGTCTTCATTAAAGGATATCTGCATGATTTGGAACCAGCAGTGACTAGAGGGAGAAATGCTCTCTTACCAAGAAACTTGGTTAGTAGGAGCCTTTTTGAAAGCAAATGGTCGAAACATAGTGGTTGTTGCAGGAGTGATTCCAGTAATTAGGTAGTCCCCTGGCTGGAAGTAATTCAATGGATCTGTCTCAACCCTTTCTAAAGTTAAGGGGCACTTGGCATTCAGCTTCTTGCAGGATATCTGGGAGAACAGAAGCACCAGGAAAAATAATAGAACCATTTCCACTTCTTTCAGAATCAGGTGGCTCTCAAAGAATTAGAGAAACAGTTGATGGAGGCAAAGGGCTCTTGCAATATCACAACTGCTTTAGTGGCTTTTATACCACAAATGGAGGTTGGAGCCCACAACAAATTCATCTGAAAAGTCTAAAGCTTTACAGCATAAAATCACACTCTCCCACTGACACTAAGGGCTTTTATGTCCATGAGTGCCCAAGCTCTGATGAAAGATGTCCCCTGCACTGAGCTTAAAGCCAATGTTTGTGTCAACTCAATGGTGAACTTTGGAGAATTCCCTGGGGGTGTGGTGGGAAGGCAATCAATAAATCCACATGATTTTGATAATTATAAAGAGAAGAAGCATTTTCTCTCTTCTGTCCCCAGGTTTCTCCTGTGATTGTATGAACAAGGGAACAGGAAAGGAAAACATGTTTGTGTGAATCCTTTGATACATTTCCAGAAGTGGTTGGAAATCCCAGTGTCCAACTTTCTCCAGGGAAAGGGAAAGTTGTTTTGTTTGAAACCTGACCTGGAATTACAGTTTGCCTTTCCTCTACAATCTCAAGGCAACAGCTCAAAACTTGTAGGACAAACATGTGCTCCAGATAATATTCTTTGTGGTAACAATATATTATTCCTTAAGTTGGAGTTTCTCACGAGTCGTGCTTCAGCAGGATATAGCAGTCATGGCAGTGAAGCTTTTGTTAACCTTCAATTGCTGCATCAGTTGCAGCCATTTTTTAATAAGTGTCCCCTAATTCTAGTGACTCATGCATTTAATATCTTATGTCTAGATTCTAGAATCTAGACCAGTGGTTCTCAACCTGTGGGTCAGGACCCCATTTGGGGTCGAATGACCATTTCACGGGGGTCACCAAACCATGCTGTCCGCCATTTTTCCCTTTTCCCTAGCTGTCCTACTCCCTCTTATTCGTGGCCACACCCACTTGGGGGTCACCACAACATGGGGAACTGTATTATGGGGTCATGGCATTAGAAAGGTTGAGAATCACTGATCTAGACCATAGCAATATAATCCTCATCTTGGTATCTTTGAAGACAATTGGGTATGTCAAGTTTAATGAAGAGAAGGACTAGGGGTGACATGATAGCAGTGTTCCAATATCTCAGGAGTCAAGAAGAGGGAGTCAAGCTATTCTCCAAAGAAGAGGGAGTCAAGCTATTCTCCAAAGCACCTGAAGGCAAGACAAGAAGCAAAGGATGGAAACTAATCAGAGAGAAGCAACCTAATACTAAGGATAAATTTCCTGACAGTTAGAACAATTAATCAATGGGACAACCTGCCTCCAGAAGTTGTGAATGCTCCAATACGGGAAATTTTTAAGAAGAGACCGGACAACAATTTGTCTGAAATAGTATAGTGTTTCCTGCCTGGGCAGGGGGTTGGATTAGAAGACCTTAAATAATAATAATAATAAAGATGATGATGATGATGATGATGATGATGTTCTTGTTGTTGCTGTTGTTAAAACTGCAGCGGATTCCACAGATAATGATCCCCTTTAGCAGCACAATAACAATGAAGCTTTGCTTGCATCATTGTGTATCAGAAGGGTTCTGGATTCTGGTTCAAAATATAGCTGCCAGGCTACTGGGAAGGAAAATGCCATTAGCAGCACATCATCAACAAAGCTATTTTGCATATTGTGTATCAAAAAGCTTTTGGGTCACATTCAAAGCACCTTAAATGCCTACCAGACCCAATCTGGAAAGGGAACTCAAAATAAGCAAGATGTCAGAATCTATCACAATGCTAGTCCTCCTTTTTTTTTTTTTTTTTGTATGTGAATGCCACACTGTATCCATCATCTCTCCTCTTCCAACTTCTATTATGGACACCAGTGTCTCCTATCAAATTTCTAGCATATATTTTCCAAATGAAATTGAATCCTAGAACTCCTTTGAGTCTGTTGTCTTTTGCCACCTGCTTCTCCAACCATTGCCTGTTCTAGCTCTTATGAGGAGCATCTGTAATTGTAACTGTTTGGTCCTCATAATACAAATAATCTGATAAACTTTACTTTTGTTTTATTAATGGAATAGCTGAAATGTTTAAAAAGAAAACATAAACAATACACACAATTATAAGACAACAAAGAAAAAAGGAACAACTATATACAGGAAATATACTGTATTGAGAGATTCATATACATGTATAAATATCTACATTAGCATAGTCTTTTAAGAATGAAGGCAAATATAGGTGTTCCAGGATGTTCTGGTGAGAGGGAAGTTCCCTCAGGATCTGCTCCAGCAGAAGTCCAAAAGCTTGGAAGATTAAACCTCTGGTCCCAATGATCAATCCAGATTGGATCCTGCAATGGTAAACACTGCCCCCTATCACTTTACAGCACTTTCTGGCAATTTACAATGGAAACATTATTTTGCGCATTGCCCCCACAAACTGGGTCCTCATTTTACCAATCTTGGAAGAAATGTAAGGCTGAGTCAACCTTGAGCTGGTGAGAATCAAAGTGCAGGCTGTGGGCAGAGTTTGCCTTCAATACAGCACTTTGACCACTGCACCACTTGTTTTAAATGGATGGCATCTCATTTCCTTATAAGCATCCATAATCATATGGATGTGGAAGTCTGGAATGAGGGTGGAGTGAGAGAAAAGAGCAATTGCCCAGATATACACAATGAATCTATAGATTGTTTTTTGTGGTTAGTTGCTCCTTTGTATTCAACTCTGGCCTCAGCAAAATAATGTAGCACTTGGGGAAAAAGATGCAACTCAGCAGTCCAGCACTGGAGGCTAAGATGGAGAAAACCTGCACAGCCACCATGTATTTACCTTTGGTGCTCAGGTAAGTGGGCACAAAGGAGACCCAAACACTACAAAAGACCAGCATGCTGAAGGTGATCAGCTTGGCTTCGTTGAAGGCCCCAGGTAGTCTTCGGGCCAGAAAAGCCACTGTGAAGCAGACAACAGCCAGGAAGCCCATATAGCCAAGGGCAGAGTAAAACATGATGACAGGTCCTTCATTGCACTGCAGAACAATCTCTTCAGGATGGGAGTGCTTGTCTGTGTCAGGGAAAGGAGGAAAGATTGCCAGCCAGATGGAACAAATCAGAACTTGGACAGCAGAGCAAACAAGAACAAGAGCATTGGTTAAAGTCTTCCCAAGCCACCTCCTCATTCTGTTCCCTGGCTTTGTGGCCAAGAAGGCCAGCACCACTGTGATGGTTTTGGCCAAAAGACAAGATATGGCCACTGAGAAAACTATGATGAAGGCTGTTTGTCGGAGAAGACAGGTAACTTTCCTTGGCTGGCCAATGAAGAGAAAGGTGGTAAGAAATGAAAGGAGGAGTGAGATGAGGAGAATGTAGGAGAGATCCCGATTGTTGGCTTTAACTATTGGAGTTTCATGAGATGTTATGAAAATTACTAATACAAAGGCTGTGATGAATGACAAAAATAGAGCAAAAGAACCCAGGATGATCCCCAAATATTCTTTATATGACAAAAAGGTTATATATTTTGGAAGACAGTGATTTTGGTGTTCATTTGGATGCTGATCTTCCAAACATCTGGTGCAGTGGACTGCATCTGCAAAGAAAAGGAATGTCTTGTTTATTCATCATTTTTAAATAATAATTTTATTAAGAATTACAATCTAAACAACACAAACCAATGCAAACTTTAAAAAGAATAGAAATAATAATAAAAGGTTCAGAAAAAAGAGCAATCTGACAATTGTGACAGAATGAAGCCCTTATTAATAGACAGGCTTGCCAATAATTGGTCTCTGGACAAGGAGAGGAGATCACCCACAAGCGCTCCACACAATTGCTCCTCTTAAGGAGAGTGCAAGAAACTCACTCCAGAGAGTTTAGAGCTTTGTGGGATGAGGGAAGAGCCATCCTGCTCATGCTACAATTGGAGCCTGGGTTCATATACTTCCTTTTCTAGTCACATTTGAAATTGTTAACAGCTTTTCAATTACTAGGAACTTTTGAATCATTGGGTTTTATAGCACTAGGTGAGTTTTCTTCAGTCCTTATTTAAAGAAGTTTTAAATACAAATTTAGGGACTTATTTTTTTTGGGGGGGGGGGAATAACCAGCAAAAGGAAGACTAAAATTTTGTCTTTAAAAAGGTACAAAGAAGATTAAGGGCCCTTAATCCCTTATAATTTAAATAAATTTGGGATATGTTTTTGGAATTAATTATAAAACAACCTTCCTATGAGAAAATGCTTTTGTTTGATCTTTTTTAAAAAAAATCTATATGCTACTAAAATTCTGATTCACATTAACTTTAATTGGGCAAAATGGTGCAGCATAGGACAAGACATTTTCAATCAATTAGATGGGCTAATTTACAGAATGTGTCCAGAATCTGGTATCAATAATTCCCATGGAACTGAAACTTAGCAAATTTTATAAAACATTTTATGACATGAAATTATCATTAAGCAGTTATGGCAAAAGAAATTATCATGAAAAATATTAGCATATTATCCCCAACAATCTGGGTCCTCATTTTATCAACTTTGGAAAGATGGAAGGCTGAATCAGCCTTGAGCTCTGTCAATATTGAACTCCAGGCTATGGGCAGAATTTGTCTGAAATTCTGAACACTGTGCAACCAGGGCTCACAAAATTATTATTTTTTTAACATTGGATATTGTTGAGTCCTCCGTTTAATGGCAATAACTCACGAAGCATCTCGTAGTTTCAGGAGCCTCTTTGTTGATGTTCTGTAGCCTTGTTACAACTCAGAGGCATGCAAGCCTCTCTGCTTCTCTTAAAGACGATCCCTGGGCCAAATGGCAACATTTAGGCACGCAGCGTGCCTCGCGCATGCATGCGATCGCCGGCGCCAGCCAGTCTGGTCCCGGGCAGCCTGCAACTGCCCGGGACCATTGCAATGTCCCGAACCTGCCTTCGCAGGCTCAGGACATAACACCCCTTCCCCCCCCCGGATAAAACTACACTACATGAATAGTTACACGCGACCTCAACAAGAACGTGGTATGACACCACTTGCTCCAAGGGTGCCAAGCTATCATTCTGAGGATTAAGTCCCCAGTGTCCCTATTTCCATTTTTCCACAGAAGCTTTCCCTTACTGTTTCTGCTTTGCCAGCAGAGTTACAAAATCTTCAAGATACTTAGGAGATCTTTTAGCTCTCTGTGATCTCCTTAAGCCCTGACAATCTCCACTTTGCCCCGGGGCTGACATGGATTCGCCCCCTTTCTTGAACCCTGGTGGTCCCCATGGACCGTGCCCTGTTGCCTGGTCTGCTTGCTTGCCCACCGGGCTCATCAGATCAGGATTTTGTCCTCTTCCTAACCTGGTTGACCTGCCTAGTTGCAGGCTCTCTGGCCCCTCTAGAATACTGCCACTGGTGGGCAACTCTGTAGAGCCTCCCTGGCCCATACTGGACCTCTCATGAGGCTGTCTTCCTCCACTCCCCAGTTCCATAGTAGGACTGTCTGGGATTCCAGTACTGTCCCAAAACTCAGTTGCCCCCTCAATTACGCCGGAGATGTCAGAATTTGGGTTTGACCCTCCGACCACCTCCCCATGTGAATGCCTCCTTCTGGAAACAGAAGCAGTGCTGGGCCAGCTAGGCTGATTGTGTGCCAGCTCTCTTGCAAGGTGTGCGTTATTAGGATGCTCCCGATTATTCTCCCTGACTGGAGTGCTGAATGGAGTTAGTGAATAATGGTTATGCCCCCGGGGTGACTCCCTGGCTGGAGTAGGTACTGGTGCCCATGTGCTAGCTGGTTCCCACAAATTCCTGTTTGGAACACTCGCGGAATCTTGTGACAGGCCGTCTGTGGCCTCTTTGTTTGTGCCTGGCTGCTGCCGACACCCCTCCCTTTGCCCGTAGAGGTCCCCCTCCCCCCCGGAAAAGAACCAGGAGTCTCTGAAGGTAAGTCTAGTCTTGTACGCAGCTGGTCGATATGCCATCGCAGGATACGACCATTATCCAAGGAAACCTCATAGGACAAAGGACCTGTAACCTTGCAAACTAGGGCAGGAACCCACAAGTGACCTGGCCCGTAATTACGGGTCCAAACCAAGGCACCCACTTGCAATTGCCTCGGTGCCCTGGGTTGTGTACCCCTAGGAGGCAGTCTGTCCGGGTGCAACTGGTCAAGTTTAGTAGTCAGTTTGCGCTCCCAGCGAAGTTCAGCAGGGCTTCTCCCAGTAGAAGTTGAAGGTGTGGTGTGGTAAGCAAGAAGAAAATCTGCCAACCTGTGGTGCCAGTCCCCATAGGTCAGTTTCTTTAAAGCATCCTTGGTGATGCGGATCATCCGTTCAGCCATACCGTTGGTGGAAGGGTGGAAAGGCGCAGAGGTGGCATGATGAATCATGTTGGCCTGTAAGAAAGCTTGGAATTCGGAAGAAGTGAATTGGGGCCCATTGTCAGACACCAAAACATTCGGAAGCCCATGTGCAACAAAAATCCCCCTAAGGACTTGAATGGTCTTTGCAGTGGTAGTGGAAGAGACAGGTACAACCTCAAGCCATTTTGAATGGCTATCAACCAGGACCAAGAAGAATTGACCCTGAAAGGGCCCAGCGTAATCAATGTGCACTCTAGACCAGGGTGACTGCATTTCCTCCCATCTATATACAGGAGCCTGGGGCATTTCTGGGCGTGAGCGCTGACAAAGGTGGCATGCATGCACCTTAGCCTCAATTTCCTTGTCTAACCCAGGCCACCACAAATGGCTGCGTGCAAGCGCCTTCATTCGTACAATGCCAGGTTGACCCTCATGAAGGGAACCTAAGACCCTAGACCTCATTGAGGTAGGAATGACAACTCTGCTGCCCCACAGCAGACAACCTTGAAATGTGGATAATTCATGTCTCTTAAGCCAGAAACTCTGAAACTCAGTGCCAGGACAACTCTGTGGCCATCCAGACAAAACCCAGGATAAGACACGAGAAAGTGTAAGATCAGTGGTTGATTCAGCAGCCACATCCCTGGCATTTAAAGGTGACTCAGGCAGTGCCTGAATAGAAAGAATGTTGATGGCAGGGGCTGGATCAGCCTCCACTACTTATAAGGGTAATCTACTGAGGCCATCAGCATGGCCCATTTCCTTGCCAGGTTTGTGAATTAAGGAAAAATCATAGGCTGACAGAAAGATTGACCATCTCAGCATCCTGGGGGAGATGATATGGGGAGTTTGTTTATTTGTAGTAAACAACCCCAACAAAGGCTTATGGTCGGTGTAGACCATAAAATGTCTGCCATATAAAAAATCATGGAATTTTTTAATTCCAGCAACAACAGCTAAGGCCTCCCTGTCTATCTGGGCATAATTTCGCTCAGCAGAAGACAAGGTTCTGGAGTAATACGCAACAGGAACCTGAGTTCCATCCGGTCTAAGGTGGCTAAGTACTGCTCCCACCCCATAAGGGGAGGCATCACAAGCGATGCACACAGGGAGTGTTTCATTGAAATGAGCAAGCACATTATTGGAAGTGAGTAAGACCTTAACCTCATTGAAACTTGCTTCATGTTCTTGCGACCACTGCCACACTGCCTGTTTGTCCAGAAGCCTATGAAGTGGTTCAGCTACATTAGCCTTGTTAGGAATGAATGAATTATAGAAATTCAAGAGGCCCAGGAAAGCTTGTAGTTCAGCTTTGGACCTAGGCCTAGGAGCTTGCATAATAGCTTTTAATTTGGACTCAGCAGGATGAATCCCATTGGCATCAATTTTGAATCCCAGAAAATCTGTAGAAGGCACCCCAATTTTACATTTGTCCTTTTTGAGTTTGAGTCCTGTTTTCCGGAACCGCAGCAGGACAGTCCTCAATCTCTCAGCTAAATTTTGGGTAGAGTCTCCTGCAATTAAGACATCATCAAAATAGGGGCAAACCCCTGGTATACCCCTCAGTGTATTTTCCATTACGCTTTGGAAAATTCCAGGAGCCACATTTACTCGAAACTGTAGCCTTTTTACTTTGAATGCCCCCCTGTGTGTTACAATGGTTTGTGCTTCAGCAGCAGCTTCATCAACAGGTAACTGTTGATAAGCCTATGCTAAGTCAAGCTTTGCAAAAACATGCCCCCCCTTGAGGGAAGCCAGAATATGGCTGACTACAGGTACAGGATAGGCATGTTGTTGCAATGCCTTATTTAGAGTGCATTTGTAATCTGCACAGATGCGAATATCCCCATTAGCCTTAAGAGGCGTGACTATGGGGGTTTCCCAAGGACTGGAATCAACAGGTTCTAAAACACCTTGCTGAATCAATTTGTCCAATTCAGCATCAATTTTCCCTTTTAAAGCAAAAGGTACTCTCCTAGCTTTTACTCTGATAGGAGTGACAGTGGGGTCCAATTTTAAGGAAACTGGGGGTCCCTTGTATGTGCCCAGCTGTGGGCTGAAAACATCTGCGAATTCTTTGCAGACTTCTTGTAGACCTGCTGTTTGCAAGCTATTGAGCCCTGTAACTTGTATTCCCAAGGCCTCAAACCAATCGAGTCCTATGAGACTCGTGCGCTCACGCCCCCCCCCCACTATTAATACATCTAATGGACCTTCAAAATCCTTATATTGTACGCTAAGGGTGGCCTCCCCCTTAACACACACTTTGGAGTTTTGAAAATCTGTTAGAACTATATTAGAAGGCCTAAGCTTGGCCTGGAACCCACTACCAGAACAAATCTTCCTGAATGTGTGAATGGAAATAATTGAAAGTGCAGACCCAGTGTCCAGTTCCATGACCAATGGAACTCCTTGCAACTTCACTTTAAGTGACAATTTCTTTTTGAGTGGCTTGTGTGTGCCTGTCCTAAAAATGCTTCTTCATGAAGCACAGAAACCCACCCTGTTTTGGCTGGGGACCCTGGTACCTTTCAGGTGCAATTCTTCTCGGGGTTGTACCTTCTGATGGCCCAGACACACAGCTGCTATGTGGCCTTGCTTTCCACATGCTCTACAGATCGCAGAATGAAACCTGCAGTCGGTCCTCTTTTGGCGACCTCCATACCCGAAGCACTTGGGAACAGCTGAAGACTTTTCTTTGCCTTCCTTCTGCTTCCCATCTTTGGTTGGGTAGAGATGATCTATTTCTTCATCAGGGTCCTCTTCCGAGCTCCCTTGGACTCCCTAATGGTGCACAGCAACAGCTTCTGGAGCACTTCTGATAGGCCTCATATTCTTGATTGCCCCACCTGCTGCCTCTTCTGCAGTAACCTCTCTCAAGGCATCTTGGAATGATAATTCTTCTTTAGCAAAAAGTCTCTGCTGCAAGTCTCTGTTTCTCAGTCCACAAACAAATCTGTCTCTCAGCCTTTCTTCTAAGTCTTTAAACTCACAAAGCTTAGCTGCTCTTCTCAATGCAGCAATGTACTCTTTAGCTGATTCACTAGCCCGTTGATCCCTCTGTTCAAAAGTATGTCTCCATGCAATAACAGACAACTTGGGTTGGAAATGTTCTTTTAATAATTTCTTTAAATCTGTGTAGGTGACAGATTCAAGAGGTGCAGGAGCTGCTAAGTTTTCAGCAATTTCAAATGCATCTTGACCACAAACACACAGCAGGGTGGCGGCCTTTAAGCCATCTTCTCTCACTTGATTTACTCTGAAATAATTTTCTACTCTGGCCACATAAGACTCCCATCTTTCTGGATGCGTAACATCGAACTCAGAAAGTCTTCCTATCTTTGCCATCTTTGCAGTAGTACAAGGAAGGGTCTATCAGCCAGCTTACCTCCAACGACGCTGTATTGGCAGGCAGTTGCTGAGTTTAATGCCGTTTCCTTGCTGCTTCAGGACTCCTGGGTAAGCTTACAATTTCTTCAGTTTAATTGTAAGGCATCCCATCCTCGTCGCCAGTGTTGAGTCCTCCGTTTAATGGCAATAACTCACGAAGCATAGTTTCAGAAGCTTCTTTATTGATGTTCTGTAGCCTCGTTACAACTCAGAGGCATGCAAGCCTCTCTGCTTCTCTTAAAGACGATCCCCAGGCCAAATGGCAACATTTAGGCACGCAGCGCGCCTCGCGCATGTGCACGATCACCTGCGCCAGCCAGTCTGGTCCCGGGCAGCCTGCAACTACCCAGGACTGTTGCAACATCCCGAGCCTGCCTTCGCAGGCTCAGGACATAACAGATATATTTAATTTTTGTACAATGGACCCAGAAGTTAGTTTTAAGAGTGTCTTCCTTTATAGATAGACCAGTGGTTCTCAACCTTTTTTCTGTGGCGACCCCAGTCATAAGGGCGCACCGCACATGCGCAGCAGTGCCTCCATGCGCAGCGCGCGTGCACGGCGCGGCGCACATGCGCAGTGCCGCCAGCTGACAAAAAAATGGCGGATCGCATTGTTTGGAGACCCTCGTGAAATGGTCGTTCGACCCCAAATGGGGCCGCAACCCACAGGTTGAGAACCGCTGAGATAGACTGTGTTTAATGGATGCTATGGAAAAGAAACAAGTATTATCTCGCATGATTTAGATGGATTTAAAAGTGTTTTGGTGTTTTGACCAGAGCAATGAATGAATTAATAGGAAAAAAACCCTTTTAACAATTGATCTTATAACAGAATTAGAATGGACCTTGGAGGTCTTCTAGCCCAACCCTCTGCTCAGGAATCAGGAATGGACAGAGAGCAGTCTTTTAATTTCTTTAAAAATATATATTCTGGAAACAATGAACTTTATCATTCTCTTACACTTTAAAATGTTCATGCTTATTTCTGTTCCATCTCTATATTTGTAAGTTAAATCCAATATTAATAGTTATCACTTCGCTTCCTTCCTAAAGGAGATCCAACTTTAAGAAATTCCTGAAATCTCTTACTAATCACTGAAATCAGGAAGGCCTACAACATTTGCAAATGTTCCTCAAAAAGTTCTCTAGAAGGACAGAGCATCAGTGCAGCTTAGCCCGAGATTCAGTAGATCAGCCCCTTTTATCAGAGTAGCAGAGATGATGGAGAAGCTTCTGATGAGTACATTCTCAGGAAGGTGCCACATGCCCTGGAAAAAGCTGTGGTTGCTTTAATGCAGTGCTTTTCAAACTTGGCAACTTAGAAATGTGTGGTCTTCAACTCTCAGAATATCCTAGCCAGTTGTCAAGCTTGAAAAAGACTGCTTTAATGCGTTTCAGGCAGGGGCTGCATTTATCTTCTAATGTTTCTCTTTGAAACCAGTTGCTGAGTCCTAATAGTGTCAAAATAATTTCTGGGGTCCCAATCTGAGCCAGGGTTGCACAAGAACAAATTAGAATTAAATCAAAACAAGATGGTCGAAGAGAAAAAAAGGTTTGTTTAAAAGGCAATTAATTAGATTGTAAAATATCCCCACCCAAAAAATAGTTTTGCAATAGGAATGCTTAATATTCCTATTGTTCTAGCTAAGAAGCAAAGGTTGCATGTAGATTTCTGAAACCTGGCATCATAACACAAAACCCATTATCATTATCCCACTTCCTTTATTAATGTTTATATTATGAAGCAAATTGCAAATTTTAAAAATGAAATAAAGACAAAATGCATATTTAAAAATACCACTGAGTACATTCAAATGTTTGCAAAAAAATTGCTTCCTTCAGGAACCATTCACCTTTCTGAGTGGAGATGGTCCCCTTTGCACAAGGAACACAGTCATAGCAGCAAACTGGCTGTCCTCTCTGGACTACCTTGAGAAAACCAGAATGGCAGCTTTCCACACATCTGGAAGGAGGCAGGGTCTAAGCAGACAATCAATAGCAATAGCATTTAGATTTATATACTGCTTCATAGTGCTTTACAGACCCCTCTAAGCAGTTTACAGAATCAGCATATTGCCCCAAATAATTTGTGTCCTCATTTTACTGACCTCAGAAGGATGGAAGGCTGAGTCAACCTTGAGCCAGTGAGAATTGAACTGCTGGCAGTCATCAGAATTAGCCTGCAATATAGCATTCTAACCACTGTGTCAGCACAGCTCATAGTTAGCACTCTTTTTGAGAGCCACTAAGGCAGTGGTTCTCAACCTTTCTAATGCCGTGACCCCATAATACAGTTCCCCATGTTGTGGTGACCCCCAAGTGGGTGTGGCCACCAATAAGAGGGAGTAGGACAGCTAGGGAAAAGGGGAAAAAATGGTGGACTGCATTGTTTGGCGACCCCCGTAAAATGGTCATTCGACCCCAAATGGGGTCCCGACCCACAGGTTGAGAACCACTGCGCTAAGGCCATTTGGAGGTTTATCTCCAAGTAGCCTCAACAACTCTTAGAAAGAGTGCCAATGACCAGATGACTACAAGGAACATAAATCCTTCCGCTCCCCACCATTCAGTCAGAACTGAAGAAACTTCTTGGATGAGAAGTGAAATGTCTTCAAGGAAAAACAAAGAAAGTCCAGTTACCTCTTGAAAAAGCACCTTTGGAATGTCCATTTATTTATTTAATACATTTATATAACAGCCCATCTTTCAACCAACTCTGGGTGGCTCTCAATCAAAAATTAAGAGGCACATAAAATCATTGTAAAACTAAAAAGTCAACTGATTAAAATACTAAAATTTAAAAAACAAACAAACAAACCTCAAGAACAAAAACGAGGCACCAATCCATTCTAATATGCAATTATCTAGTCTTCTCCCAATGCATGGAGGAAAAGGCAACTTTTCAAAGCCTTACAGAAGGCTAAAAGCCTGGACGCCTGGTGAACTTCAAGTGGCAAAATGTTATAGGCAGGCCTGCCACAGAAAACACATGCTTCCTGGTTCTCATCATATGCCAACGAGAGCCTCAAAAATTAGTTGATCTTCATTGCTCTTCTCTTACAATTGGTATTACTCTAATTGTCACTCCTTTGTGTTATTCTGCTAATTGACTGCGGTTTGTTTATTTATATTTCATATTTTTTTAACTGCCCATCTCCCTCAGAAAGGGGGTCTTTATCATAATATTTTGGTTTTATATTTTATATTTTTTGTTGCTAGTATATTTCTATATGCATAAACATTGTGCAGAGGGCTATTCCTGGTGGGTAGTTTTACAATATTAATGATAAATAAATAAATAAATACATACATACATACATACATACATACATACGCAAACCAATAGTTATAGAAATGTGTTTTATTTTCCAAGTTCAATTGTTGGAAACTGCCTTATTCATGAAACACAATGCATTCTATGGTACCTGAAATGGCCAAATGAATAGCAAAAAGAGATCAGAAGATCTAAAGAACTTCAGAGAGAATCTTACAGTAATTACATAGTAGGTGAAAGTAAGGGGAGTGACATGGAACGACTTCTTCCCTCCCACCTGGTTGAGCCATTTGAGCCTCACCATGGCGTCTTCATCAATGTTAAATTGGGGCTCTGAGGAGCCCTGCCTTCCTATGCTTCCAAATTGCACACTGACGATAGAACCATTAGGAAATTTCACCCAATTCACAATGTCCAGATCAGCTGCTAGTTCACCATTCTCATCTAAATACACTCCATCCGTGGAAGTGTTGTAAAAGTGAGAATCTTGCAAGAAAGGATGAAGCTGCAACAGCAAAGAAAAGGTTTGTGTTTAGTAAAAACAAATTTCTGTTGAGCAGTCCTACCAACCCCAAAATAGCTTTTATTAATCTTATTTATAGATGATAAGAAGTACAGGAAGTCCTCGCATAATGACTACAGTTAGGGCTGGAATCTTGGTTGTTGAGGAAGGTGGTCATTAAGTGAGATGTTATGTGATTGTTACGCTCAACAACCATGGTCCTACCATTCCCAGTTGGAGCTGTTAAGCACTCTTATGGGCCATTAAGCGAACAGAATATCAGGTAATGAGTGAAGGCATCCTGGCATGGAGCTCAGGGAGAAAAGGATTTTCTTAATTTTGACAGCTAAAATCCTTCAACAGGGGAGCTCCCTGTTGAAGGATTTCAGCCAGTCACCAGAGACAAAATGGAGTTCTCTTGGCAGCTGGCAGCAGTTTGCTACTTTCTCTGCTGGCTTCCCCATTGACTTTCTGGGATATCAGGTAGAGAAGTTTGCAGACAGGAATCACATGATCATGGGGTGCTTGGCAACAGGTTGTAAGTACAAATAGGTTGCACAAACTCAGATCGGTTTGTGCAATATTTTGTGACAGTGGGAAGTGCTTTATAGGACATAAAACACAGGTGTCACACTCGCCACATCACGTGACGTGTTGTGACGTATCGTGACTTTTTTCGTATTGCTGGAAATGGGGTGGGTGCCGCCTCCGCACAATGCAACCGGCCCGTAGGCCAGTAGTTCAACACCCCTGATGTAAAACATCCTTGCTGAGCTTGTCATTAATTTGAAGCATCATTAAGTGAGGATTAGCTGTATATATATTTGAGATGTCCTTAATGCTCTTTGAGCTTGGTTTTTTGCTCACAGATATTTCAGTACCCAGTTAGGTAAATATAAAGATGAAGGTTCTTGCAGATATTTCATTACTCATAAACAATAATATTGTCATGTTACCTAGCAGGAAAGCGAAATGTCTTCAAGCATATAACCAAGTAAAGAGAGCACTAAAGGACTCCACAGTTCAACCCTGAGCTACACAGACAGATTCTCTTATATATTTTGAACTGGACTTTCCTAAATTACAAAATCAATGGTTTAAGGACTTACATTATGAAATGTTTTTCCCAGTAAGTTTAAAAAATCCCCCCCCCCCAGGAGTAGATGGTAGTCCATCACCAAAAATGTGTTGGGGCACAATGAACTCATTCTTACAACACCTTCCCCATTTCTGAATTCAGTTCTAAAATCATATTCTTCCAGATAGACAGTGTGGTTAACCTTTCGGCCTTTAAGAGGTCACTTCAAATTGTCTAAAACCATAAGGAAAATGAATGCTAATGAAAATAGACATGACCTAAGGCAGAATTTTTATTTAAGGTATTAAATGTATGTCTACTATCTGTCATGGATATTTATATATAATTATCTGGAATACTCTAAATTGCCATAAGCACTATCTGGTAGATTGTATTTAGAGAAGTCAATAAATAAACCTCATCCCCACTAGAACAGACGCTTTCTGAAGATTCCGGAATTGCTTTTCAGATGCACATGTTCAGTAGGAATCTCTGTGATTTGGAAGGGAATACCTGCCACGGTTGCAGAATTTGCAGTACTGATGTCCCTCCATCACCTTCCACCTTCCTCCTCTTGAATTGAGAAGAATAAGCTACATCTAAGGCCCGTGCCAGGCCCCAGACAGTGTGGTAAATACGAGAGGTGTCTAGAGACACAGTTTTTTCAATCTCGCTTTGGGGAAGGGTCCCCACTGCCTCATTCTCAATGCATCTTGTCCAGCCTTTCACCGATGGGGCAGCCTTGAAGTAAAAGCAGGGAAATGCTATATATGTAAACCGATATAGAGAAATGAAAAGAGGGAGGAAATCATACTTTATCTTTTTCTTTTTCCGAGTAAGAAAGGAAAATAAACCGTGAATGTTTTTATATGATACAACATTATATTTCAAGTCAAATGTGAGGTCCCACAAAGCTGTTGTGACAAGGATTTTCCCTGTGAAGATTGTTGATTCTGCAAAATGTGATTTTATGTACAATGTTGAGCTTTCAATTATATTCACTATTGCCCATATCCCAGTCATAAAGAATCCAGGGTCTGAAAAGTAAATAAATACATTCACTTCTTTCCACTTCTGCACTGAGGCAGAATTGGCATTTACGGTGATGGCCACATTTTGTCTATTCACTCCTGAAAAAGTTTGTGAGAAAATAACACATATCCCGTTCTCGAACAGCATTGGCACCAATGTTCCCATGAAATGCTTGCCATTGTCAGTGTCTGGAGCAAAGAGACCAACTGATGTCCATTGGAAATGCAGGAGCAATTTGAGGATTCCCAGATATTGGATTCCTTCTTTGGGGAGAATGGTGGAGAAAAAGGGGAACTGTGTTTTATCACTCAGAAGATGGGAAACAAAAGAATAACTGACCTGATAAAGAGAAGAACAAATTGGTGATTGGCTTAGTTTCAGGACAGGGTTTGCTAGTGTTTTGTTTCCAAATTGCTATTATGCTGAATGTTATTTTAGATTGCCTAACGCATTCTGTTCAGCGTAGGTTGTCCTATTTATGTCTGTTACTGTTTTCAAGCCACTTGGTACCTAAAAGCCTGTGCAATTATTTAATTTGTGATCCTTTGAGATGCTACAGCTCTCTCCTTATACCATATTTTGCTGGCTCATCCATTAATGAGATGTGATCACCAGAATATAAGATTATGGATCTCTCATATCACCTTCCTGTATATCTAATGTTTGCTTTGAATTTATAGGCTCTATATAGGAAGATAGATAAGATAAGATAAGATAAGATAAGATAAGATAAGATAAGATAAGATAAGATAGGATAGGATAAGATAACCATTATTGTCATTTTATACTGTAGACACAATGGCACACATCAAAAATGAAATTTAGTTGGCCGCTCTCAAAGTGAAATACATACATGACACACACTTAAACATACTATGAACAACATATGTACAGACCCACATCTTCTACATGTACGTAGCAAATAAATATTAAATATTGTCCATCTTGAATATATAACGGAAGGAGGAAGCTTGAGAGTGGTGCTGTGGTTAGAGTGCAGTACAGCAGGTTACTTCTACTGACTGCAGACTGCCAGCAGTTCGGCAGTTCAATTTTCACCTGCTCAAGGTTGACTCAGCCTTCCATCCTTTTGAGGTCAATAAAATGAGGAGCCAGATTGTTGGGGGCAATATGCTGACTCTGTAAACCACTTAGAGAGGGCTGTAAAGCACTGTGAAGCAGTATATAAGTTTAAATGCTAGTGCTATTGCTCTTCATTTTCATTTCTATCATCTCATCTGTGATTTTATTCAGGTTGTACTTGTTAAACAATACACTTACTTTGGAGTGCAAACAAAATACTGGATTTCTACCCATTAATGCCAACTAGCCAGATTCCAGCTAATTAGACCCCCCCCCATTATAAGTCTTTACAGTGAAATTTAAAAAGAGACTTTCTCACCTGAGGGATTTTGTAGTTGCCTGACATGGATGAAATTAAGAAGGAGATGTCTGTTTCTGTCCCTTCAATTATAGTTAAGAGGTTATTCTGTCTTCCTCCACACCTGTAGTTTGGAACATCTGCCTGCCCAGGAGAGAGCAGATCTACCAAACCTTCTGATGTTGTTCTGGCATCAAAGTAATTGTCATGAATATTGTAGCCCAGGGTGAGGTTGGGTAAGATATTGGGATCCTGGTTGATCTCACGGATAGCAAACAAGAAGGACAGGATTTTCCAGCACTGTGAGGTTGCTTTCCTGAAAATAGACACACACACACACACACACACACACACACACACACACACACACACATGCAGACAGACACACACATGATAAATCATATGGTTTTCCATCACAGGGAAAGCAATGCCTTTAGTATTGGTTTTCTTCATTCTTTTGGTTTATCTAGAAAATAGACACATTTAATTTCTAGTCAAAATCTAAAACTGATCTGTTGGTGTGCAAGGGAATTGATTTGAAGTCTATTGTAAAAACCGTCATCTTTACTCAGGCTATCTAAACCTCCCTTTTATACTCCTCAGATTTAACCTAGAAGTTCTGTGCCACATTTTTTTCTGCCTCGGAGATGTTTATCATCTTTGGTATTTGTGTTTTCTATTCCTTCTGTACTAGTAAGACTCCAAACATACAGTGCACTCAGAAAGTATTCAGACCCCCTTCACTTTTGTCAATTTTGTTAATGCTGAAGCCTGATTCTACAGTCGTTGAAATTCATTTTTTTTCTCATTAATCTACACTCAGTACCCCATAATGACAAAGTGAAAACAGAATTTTAGAAATGTTTGTACTTTGTTGAAGCACCTTTGGCAGCAATTACAGCCTCAAGTCTTTCCGGCTATAATGTGACAAGAATTGCACACTTAGATTGGGGGATTTTCTGCCATTCTTCCTTGCAAATCCTCTCAAGCTCAGTTAGCTTGGATGGCGACTGTCGGTGGACAGCCATTTTCGGGTCGCTTCAGAGATGTTCAATAGAATTCAAGTCAGGGCTCTGGCTGGGCCACTCTAGGGCATTCACAGAATTGTCCCTAAGCCACTCCTGTGTTGTCTTAGCTGTGTGCTTAGGATTGTTGTCATGTTGGAAAGTGAACCTTCTGCCCAGTCTGAGGTCCTGAGCATTGTGGAACAGGTTTTCATTGAAGATATCCCTGTACTTTGCTCCATTCAGCTTTCCCACAACCTTAACCAGTCTCCCAGTACCTGCTGCTGAAAAACAACCCCACAGCATGATGCTTCACTATTAGGATGATATTAGACAGGTGATGAGCGGTGCCCTGGTTTCCTCCAGACATAACATTTAGAATTGAGGCCAAACAGTTCCATCTTGGTTTCAGACCAAAGAATCTTGTTCCTCTGAGAATCCTTGCTTTTTTGCAAACTCCAAGTGGGCTTTCATGTGTTTTGCACTGAGGAGAGGCTTCTGTCTAGCCACTCTGCCATAAAACTCAGATCGGTGAAAGGCTGCAGTGATGGTTGTCCTTCTGGAACTCTATCCCATCTCCACACAAGATCTCTGGAGCTCAGTCAGAATGACCATTGGGTTCTTGGTGACCTCTCTTACACCCCTGATTGCGCAGTTTGATTGGGAAACCAGCTCTTGGAAGAGTCCTGGTTGTGCCAAACTTCTTCCATATGAGAATTATAGAGGCCACTGTGCTCTTAGAAATATTCAGTGCAGCAGACATTTTATTGTAGCCTTTCCCAGATCTGTGCCTTGCAATAATCCTGTCTCTGAGCTCTGCAGGCAGTTCCTTTAACATCATGGCTTTTGCTGAGCTAAATTTCAAGTGCTGTTGCAAAGGGTCTGAATACTTATGCCAATGTGATATTTCAGTTTTTTTATTTTTAATAAATTTACAGACATTTGTAAAATTCTGTTTTCACTTTGTCATTATGGGAAACTGAATGTAGATTAATGAGAAAAAAATGAATTTCAACAACTATAGAATCAGACTGCAGCATAACAAAATTGACAAAAGTGAAAGGGGTCTGAATACTTTCTGAATGCAGCGTACATTTGTATATGCTCCCACAATGATATAGCATCTCTCAGGACAACTAAGCATCTCATAGAATGCAGAATTTCACTATAGAATAGGCTGCTATCACAGGACAAGTTAATAGGTAACAGAATAACAGAGTAGGAAAGGATCCTGGGGGTCTTCTAATCCAACTCCCTGCAGGAGACCCCGTATCATTCCAGACAAGTGGCTATCCAGTCCCTTCTTAAGAACCTCCAGTGATGAAGCACCCACAACGTCTGAAGGCAAGTTGTTCCACTGGTTAATTGTTCTCACTGTTAGGAAATTTTTCCTTAGTTCTAGGTTGAATCTGTCCTTGATTAGTTTCCATCCATTGTTTCTTGTCTTGCCTTTTAATGCTTTGGAAAATATGTTGATCCCTTCTTGTTTGTGGCAGCCCCTCAAATATTGGAATACTGCTATCAAATCACCACTAATCCTTCTTTTCACTAGACTAGACATATCCAATTGCTGCAACTATTCTTCATATGTTTTAGCCTCCAGCCCCCTAATAATGTTTGTTCCTCTTTGTTGAGGAACAAAGACCTAGTAGAAGCAATGATCTCAAAGTTAAAACTTTTTTTTTCTTCTGTGGGCAAAATCAAACATACTTAATATGCATTCACACCTGAATGCTGGCATGTCTGCCCTACAGCTGTAAACAGAGAAAGGGCAGAGATATTAAGAAATTGAGCAGGAAGAGTTTTTGGGAAATTCCTGGAATTGTTTTTGAGTGGCAGAGTCTGCCTATTCTGCGCATCAGGAAGAAAGAATTTGCAGCAGGAGACCCAGCAAGAGAAAAACAGGATCTGAAAAAGTCATTACTTTCTCCAAATGGCTGGTCTCAGTCTTGCCCTGGAGCAAGAGAAAACTAATGCAAGTAGATTTTTTTTCACATATTTTGTCTTTTCTGGATATCCTGCTCATTCAATGTTCTTCATAGGTTTGTATGGAGATTCAGAGAAAAGGCATGGAGTACATCTAGCTCTATTCCGATGACTTTTTTTATGCAACCTTTATGTGTTAAGGAACCTGAAGGCAAAAATGACATAGTGGGCATTGGGTAGTGCCTTAGTTTTGACCCTGCTAAAACCTCTGTCTCCAGTGATCCAGACAAAAGAGATGATGAAAAAGTACAGTTGTTCCAAATTAGAGGATACCTAAAGCTTTTTGAATCAATAGCATGCAGGGTGGGAGATGCTGTTTTACCAGGAAACTTTGTTAGCTGGAGCCTGTTTGAAAGTGAATGGTAGAAATGAAGTGGTTGTTGCAGAAGCGATTCCAGTAATGAGATAGTCCCCAGGCTTGAAATAAGTCAATGGATCGGACTCATCCCTTTCTAAAGTTAAGGAGCATTTGGCCTTATGTATCCTGCAGGCTGTTCGGGACAACAGAAGCATCAGGAGGAGCAGAACCATTTCCTATGTGTCTTGCAGAGTCAGGTGGCTCTAAAAAGAATTAAAGGAGCGGTTCCAGGAGGCAAAGTGCTCTTGCAATATCACAATTGCTTTTGTGGCTTTCCTAGCACAGACAGAATTCAGCTTAAAGGCTCAAGTTTTACAGCACAGTATCACAACTTCTCAGTGATAATAAAGGCTTTTTTGTCCCTGAGCACCCAAACTGTGATGAACGATATTTCCTCTATTTATCTTGAAAGTGATGTTTGTGTCAGCTCAACAGTGAATTTTGGAGAATTCCCAAGATGTGTTATTAGAAGGCAGTCAAAATCAATGTGATTTTGATAATTATATGGAGAAGCATCACTTCTGTTTCCAAGTTTTTCCTTTGATTTCAATAACAAGGGAATAGGGAAGAAAAATGTATTTGTGTAGCAACTTCCTTCCTTCTGTTGAAGGAAAAGTCTTCTTCATCGTGGTTCAGTCCAAGCCGGGGATAAACAACATGGTGACTGCTTTAGAAAGAAGGTTTCTATATATTTTCCTGCCCTTTTAATATTTCCTTCTCTGGGGGGCTGACTTCCCTCCCTCCCTCCCTCCCTCCCTCCCTCCCTTCCTTCCTTCTTTTTCTTTTTCTTTGTTTTATAACATTTATATAGCTATCCATCTTATATCAAACTCTGGGGGGATCCCAGTCAAAATTGTGACACACTAATGCATACTTCTGTTTGTTCACCTCCCACTAGTTCTGAGTTATTGTCTTGAGAAACTAGATTAAGGCCAGCTAAAAAAAGGCAGACTATAAATGGATGGATGGATGGATGGATGGATGGATGGATACGTGGGTGGGTGGGTGGGTGGATGGATGGCCTGGCTGCTGGCAATGGAGAACCCCCTTTAACACCAATGTGGTGCTATTTGTTGCAGAGGTTGGCTGCCAATGGGGTTTCTGGGTCCAATTCAGGGGTGGGATTTAGATGGTTCGCACCATGTCATATTTCTATTTTGCTTTTCAGAATAACCTGTTCCTTTCTATTCAAATCAGGTTGAAAAAGAATAATGTAGCACTTGGGGGAAAAGATGCAAGCCAGCAGCCCAGCACTGGAGGTCAAGATGGAGAAAACCTGCATGGCCATCATGTATTTGCCTTTGGTGCTCAGGTAGATAGGCACAAAGAAGATCCAAACAATACAGAACACCAGCCTGTTGAAAGTGATTAGTTTGGCTTCATTGAAGGCACCAGGCAGTCTCTGGGCTCGAAATGCCACCAGGAAGTAAACAGCCACCTGGAAGTCCATGTAGCATAGTACAGTATAAAACATGATGACTGATTCTTCATTGCATGGCAGGACAATCTCTCTAGCCTGGGAATGCATATCTGAGTCTGGGAATGGGGCAGAGGTGCTCAACCAGATACAATAGCACAGATGGTATTGGACAACAGAGAAAGAAAGAACAATAGAGTTGTCCAAAGACTTCCCCAGTCATCTAGTCACACAATTTTCTGACTTGGTGGCTAGGAAGGCCAGCACCACCATGATGGGTTTGGACAAGAGAGAAGAGACAGCCACTGAGAAAATGATGCTGAAGACTGCTTGTCTCAGAAGGCAACTGGTTCTCCTTGGCTGGCCAATGAAGAGGGGAGAAGACAAGAAGGAAAGTAGGAGGGAAATGAGGAGCAAGTAGGATAGGTCCCGGTTGTTGGCTTTGACTACTGGAGTTTCCAGGTGCTTAATGCAAATGCTTAAAACAAATTTGGTGCTCAAAGAGAAAAGTAAAGCAAAAGAAGTAAGCATGATCCCCAAATCTTCTGCATAGGAGAGGAAGGATTTCACCTTAGGAACACATTGATTCCAGTCCTTGTTAGATTGCTGGTCCTCAGGGCATATCAAACAACGCTCAGCATCTGCAAAAAAAGAAATGCAGCACCCACATTTTTAGTAGTGTGGAAAAGGCTAAAGATTAAAGAAAATTATGTTGTGCTGCATTTTGTTCCAAAAATGTGGAATTTGTCTGTTGTTGAGGAGCTTTGTTTACACTGAGTGTGGGGAATTGCTAAGAGAATGAATTTGAGAAATTGGAAAAGTATTTTTATTTCAGATGTTAAGGATTGGATTGATGACTTGTGTTAATTAGAAAGAAAAGACATTTTCTCCCACCAAGCAAAAGATGATGAAATCTATTTACCATTGGCTCTGGTTTCAATGTTGTCTATATCAGATGAGGTTTCTTCTCTTTGATTTGAAATGTTCATCTGCTGTTTAATACTTGATGTAGAGTTGATATACCTAGATTGTTTTATATTTCTTATTATTTTCTGTTTTCCTTAGTCTTTATTATTGATATGCTTCTTTTTTTAAAATTTGTTACATGTGTTTTATGTTTTATGGTACTTCAGTTGAGGGGGGATGTTTGTATTTATTTATTTATTTATTTATGAGACTTATATACCACTTTAAGTGCAAGCACTCTCTAAGCGGTATACATCAGTAAGCAACGTATATATATATTTACATTGCCCCCAACAATCTGGGTCCTCATTTTACCTACCCCGGAAGGATGGAAGGCTGAGTCAACCTTGAACCGGTGAGATTTGAACTGATGACCTGCTGAACACAGTCAGCTAAAGTGGCCTGCAGTACTGCACTCTAACTGCTGCGCCACCTCGGCTCTTTGGTATTTGGGCATAATTTTTCAAAATATTATAAAATAAGTTTTCAACGCTCTACCAACACTCTTTCAGTGGGAGAGAACATTCCCTTCTTTTGTAATTGTGGGGAAAAAAATGTGGGATAACCTTGGAATCAATTAAACTGGTAGAAATCATTGTGGTTATTAAAAAGTAAGAAGACATGGAGAACTTTTCCCTCTGGAGTCACCCACCTTCCTGAGTGGAGATGGTCCCTTCTGCATAAGGAACACAACTGTAACAGCAAACTGGCTTCATGAGGTCCAGCAGCCTGACAAATCCAGACAGGCAACTATCCACACACTGAGAACTTGGCAGGAGCTGAAGATGAAGAAAAGGAACATTCAGCAAAATAGGTGGAGCTGATGTCCCTAAGAAAGGAGACTTAAAAAGGGGAAAGCCCCAAACAAACTACTGGATTTAAACATGCAGGATGAAAGAACCATAAGAGAAGATGGCAAAAAAAGTGTTTAACCCTTATGATTCTTTTGTGGGCATTTGGAAGAAGATGCAGTGAAGCAGCCACAGAGTGTTTCAGATGGCTTTTTTCCTTCAGCTAGAATTTGTGTCTCATATTATTCCCATCCTTTCCTACTAAAGGCCTGGCTGCTTTTCAGTTGGCAGCCTTATGTGATGTGCTGCCAGCTGTCTTCTGGAGAGTTTCAACAATGGATATGGGGAGAGACACTGAGAGAGAATGAGGGGAAGCTGGGAAAGGAATGGAAGGGAAAGCAGAGATGCACAATCCAGAGACAGGAGAGGAAAGTCTTAGGAAAGAGGAAAGCCTGATATGGACACTGAGCCCAGGTGATGAGAAATTGGAGAAGAAGCAGTTCAGATCTCTTTGTCACAATGAACTTATTAGAAATGAGGATAGTAAGAGCTCTTGTGATTTCCAAGATTCTCTGTTGATCCCACACTAGGATTAAAGCCCTTCTAGATAAACTAGACAGTACATAAGACTAGATGAGTTAATTTTACTTTATTGTAAGGTTATATGAGGAACGGTTGCTGGAATTGGGTATGTCTAGTTTAATGGAGAGAAGGACAAGGAGGGACATGATAGCAGTGTTCCAATATCTCAGGGGCTGCCACAAAGAAGAGGGAGTCAAGCTATTCTCCAAAGTCCATGAAGGCAGGACAAGAAGCAACGGATGGAAACTGATCAAAGAGAGAAGCTATCTAGAACTAAGGAGAAACTTCCTGACAGTTAGAACAATTAACCAATGGAACAACCTGCCTCCAGAAGTTGTGAATGCTCCAACACTGGAAGTTTTTAAGAAGAGACTGGACAGCCATTTGTCTGAAATGGTATAGGGTTTCCTGCCTGAGCAGGGGGTTGGACAAGATGACCTCCAAGGTCCCTTTCAACTTTATTATTATTATTGTTGTTGTTGTTGTTGTTGTTAATTGCGAAGTCGTGTCCCACCCATCGCGACCCCATGGACAATGTTCCTCCAGGTCTTCCTGTCCTCTACCATCTTCTGGAGTCCATTTAAGCTCACACCTACTGCTTCAGTGACTCCATCCAGCCATCTCATTCTCTGTCGTCCCATTCTTCTATTTCCCTCAATCTTTCCCAGCATTAGGCCCTTCTCCAGTGAGTCCTTCCTTCTCATTAGGTGGCCAAAGTATTTGAGTTTCAGCTTCAGGATCTGGCCTTCTAAAGAGCAGTCGGGGTTGATCTCTTCTAGGACTGACCTGTTTGAACGCCTTGCAGTCCAAGGGACTTGCAGGAGTCTTCTCCAGCACCATAGTTCAAAGGCCTCAATTCTTTTGCGCTCAGCCTTTCTTATGGTCCAACTTTCACAGCCATACATTGCAACTGGGAAAACCATGGCCTGGACTAAACGCACTTTTGTTGGCAGGGTGATGTCTCTGCTTTTTAGTATGCTGTCTAGATTTGCCATAGCTTTCCTCCCCAGGAGCAAGCATCTTTTAATTTCTTGGCTGCAGTACCCATCTGAGGTGATCTTGGAGCCCAGAAAAATAAAATCTGTCACTACCTCCATTTCTTCCCCTCTATTTGCCAGGAATTGAGAGGACCGGATGCCATGATTTTGGTTTTCTTAATGTTGAGTTTCAAGCCAACTTTTGCACTCTCCTTCTTCACCCGCATCAAGAGGCTCTTTACTTCCTCTTCACTTTCTGCCATCAGAGTGGTATCATCTTCATATCTTAGGTTGTTGATATTTCTCCCGGCAATCTTAATTCCAACTTTTGTTTCATCTATCCCTGCCTTTCTCATGATGTGCTCTGCATATAAGTTAAATAGGCAGGGCGACAGTATACAGCCTTGCCGGACTCCTTTTCCAATTTTGAACCAATCAGTGGTTCCGTGTCCAGTTCTCACTGTTGCTTCTTGACCCGCATATAGGTTTCTCAAGAGACAAATAAGATGGTCTGGTATTCCCATCTCTTTAAGAACTTGCCACAATTTGTTGTGATCCACACAATCAAAGGCTTATTATTATTATTATTATTATTATTATTATTATTATTATTATTATTATTATTAAAAGAACCTTGCAAGTTTGAAAGTACTAACTACCTGCTGCCATTTTAACTGATCCATAAAGGTGGATCCTTTGTAAGTATTTCTCTCTGCCTATTAAGCCACTGAAGGTTCCCCCTCTCTTCTCTGATCATGTTCCAGGCAGCACTTTTTCTTCACCCGCCTCAAAGTCATCTATGAATTCCATTACAATTCCATTGTAATCCTAACTCAGCATGATTTAAAAGAGATTTAATAGAACAAATGAAAGATGAGAAGGAGAATAATTTGGAAAAATTTACAGATCCACATGATGAAAACATAAAGCAAGCCCCATCCTAAGTAGAAATACAGGAAAATATAATAGAATTGTGGATTATGACAGAGATGAAAACTAAGTGGAAATATACAAACAATAAGCCATGAGATGAAAAATGACCAGATAATGACTTACTACTTACCCCTTTTACAAAAGGGGACTGTTAAAACCACGAAGAAACTCCCAAGAAAGAAGTTTGGGTTAGAGGTTATATCTTAATGAAGCAAAGATTAAGAATATTAGAAACAAAAGAAAGGAATCTAAAACTGACCGGTTTGATCAGAGTTAAAACAAGAAATACTTTTATAAAGTGCTAGGAACACTTCATGCAATTTTGTTGATACAGGACATAAATGTTAGTGGTTTTGAATTTGTGAGTGAATAAGACTTGAGATATTGGAAAAATTGCTTTATGTAATTTAATGTGACTTTTCATATAACATAATAAGCTTTGAATAAAGCTTGCTGTGGGAGACTGTTGAAGGATTTTCATAAAGAAAGAAAAAACTTACAGAAATGAATATTTAGAGTTAAAGAAATGATTGAAGAAAAGAAAAAAACAAAATAAACAACATAAAAAGATCAATTTATACAGCGGTTGTCAGTAAGTAAGGACTACTTGTAGTTGATTTCAAATCTTTCTCAGATCAGTAATTGGTCCGAACATTGGAGTATTACAGCATGTCCATAAGTAGAACATCCAGCTCTGAAGTCTGTGTGTTCATGTGCCAATATATACTCTGGGTTGACCCAGTGAACTAATTTGTTTTATAAGTATCTAGCATCCCCCAAGAATTGGGGTTTGCCATTCCATGTTCTGGTGTAGGCTGTAGAACAGGGGTGTCAAACTCGCAACATCACGTGATGTTTTGCAATGTATTGCGACTTTTTGCCATTGCTGGCGATGGGGTAGGAGCAGTTTCGTTATGATGCATGCGGCCCATGGGCTGGCAGTTTGACATCCCTGCTGTAGAAGAATCTTTATTTCAGGCTCCAATCTGAGTCAATCATGGAGACCAGAAGTTTAGTCTTCTAAGCTTCAAACTATTTCAGCACTTGAGACTGGGGTGCAATTAGGGAGTAGGTTACATTAAGTCATGTTCTTCTTATACATATAATGCTCTGAAGTGGTCCACCCATACAGATGCAAGTAACAGATGGGAAAGTGAAAAGGTCCTATCAATTGGGTGGGAAGTCAGCTGGCACCAGAATAAAATGGGATTTCTGGCTTTTTATTATCAACTACTGCCAAGAAGACAAGACCTATTGAATTCTCTGTTCTTGTTTTGTGATAGATGTTTTTATATATTTTTTATTCAAGAACATAGAGTCCTGAATAGAATGTTCAGCTGAGTTCTCTTTTTATAATTTGAATTTCCTAATCAAAATGTTGAGACTCTAGAAAGAGTACAGAGAAGAGCAACAAAGATGATTAGGGGACTGGAGGCTAAAACCTATAAGGAACGGTTGCGAGAATTGGGTATGTCTAGTTTAACGAAGAGAAGGACAAGGGGGGACATGATAGCAGTATTCCAATATCTCAGGGGCTGCCATAAAGAAGAGGGAATTAAGCTATTTCCAAAGCACCTGAAGGCAGGACAAGAAGCAACGGGTGGAAACTAATCAAGGAGAGAAGCAACCTAGAACTAAGGAGAAACTTCCTGACAGTGAGAACAATTAATCAGTGGAACAGCTTGCCTCCAGAAGCAGTAAATGCTCCAACACTGGAAGTTTTTAAGAAGAGACTGGACAGCCATTTGTCCGAAATAGCGTAGGGTTTCCTGCCCGAGCAGGGGGTTGGACTAGATGACCTCCAAGGTCCCTTCCAACTTTACTACTATTACTAATCAATTTACTCTTGGCTTCAAAAATTTTCCATGTCAAAGCAGGGCTTGAGAGGGATAGGTCCTACTCCTGTATTTTTCTCTCTTCCTCAGTATCTAAATGGAGAGCATAGACTGGAGTAACACAATCAGTTTGGTGAAATTCTGTGGAAGTTTGCAGAAAATCTGTCCTTTTAAGTGTAGTAGAGTGAAATTGCAATGCTTCATCAGACAGAAGCAGCTGAGATGTTTGCTTATTGAAATGCTGAGTCCAATCGTCAGGGATCATCTTCAGCTCTAACTGGTTCCACAATTGGAGTAGGGTCTCTTTGAGAAAACAATTGTTGTATACTTTTATAACTGTGATGCTTGAAACATGGTAACTATCAGATTGATTGCCTAGATAAAACTTTTGTATATAGTAATTTAATTCCATATAATTAAAGTAATCAATCAGATTTGAGTTAACATAGTGGGAGAATTCACCAAGAAATTGCTACTAATAGATCTGTTCAATAAATATCAATTTAGTTTGTTGATTATTTTTAATAAACACAATCCCTTGTAATCCTTTGTAATCCCCCTTTGAATTGTTAAATCTTGCTACTTGATTGGATTAAGTATTGTGTGCAGAAGAATCTAAAAGATCTAATGTAACAGCACAGATAATTTCAGATACTTCACAGATCTACACCCAGACAGATGACAACAGCCAATGTCTCACAAAACATTGAGACTTTGATATCAGCAGTAATCTTTTTTCTTTCATTCATTCTTTCTTAATTTTGAAGTCTCTTTTTTTGGTAAAAAGATTGAAGCTATGATTCTACCATACCTTTAAAAGAAGAGAACTTTTTTAAACAAATGGATGTTAGAGTAAAAGTATAAAACAGATGAAATGAACTTCCCTAATTATCATGATTGATCTAAACATTTGTCTTGGGGAACACTAATAAGCAAATTGGTCCTATGCTGCTTGCTAAATTGTGCAGGTTTAAAATCACATTTCTGTTTTGCTTTTCAGAATAAGCTGCTCTTTTGTATTCAAATCAGGTCGAAAAAGAATAATGTAGCACTTGGGGAAAAAGATGCAACCCAGCAGCCCAGCACTGGAAGCCAAGATGGAAAAGACCTGCACAGCCACCATGTATTTCCCCTTGGTGCTCAGGTAGGTAGGCACAAAGGAGATCCAAACACTACAGAAGACCAGCATGCTGAAGGTGATTAGCTTGGCTTCATTGAAGGCGCCAGGCAACCTCCGGGCCAGGAAAGCTACTGTGAAGCAGATGGCTGCAAGGAAGCCCATGTAGCAGAGAGCAGTGTAGAACATTGCAACAGAGCCTTCATTGCATTGCAGGACAATCTCTCTGGTCTGGGAAGTCATATCTGAGTCTGGGACTGGGGGAGTAGTACCTAACCAGATAGTGCTGATTATAACTTGGATAAAAGAGCAGCAAAGGACAATGGAGTTGCCCAAAGGCTTCCCCAGCCATTTTCTCATGCTATTTCCTGGTTTGGTGGCTAGAAAGGCCAGCACCACTGTGATGGTTTTGGCCAAAAGAGAAGACACGGCTATGGAGAATATGATGCTGAAGGTAGCTTGTCGCAGAAGGCAGGTAGCTCTCCTTGGCTGGCCAATGAAGAGGAAGGAAGACAGGAAGGAAAGCAGGAGGGCAATGAGGAGCAGGTAGGACAGGTCCCGGTTGTTGGCTTTGACTACTGGGGTTTCCAGGTGCTTAATGAATATGTTTAAAACAAAGCCGGAGCTCAAAGAGAAAAGTAAAGCGAAGGAAGTAAGGATGACTCCCAGATCTTCTGAATAGGATAGGAAAGTGATCACCTTAGGAACACACTGATCCCGTTCCTTGTTGGGGTGCCGGTCCTTGGGGCATCTCAGACAATGTTTGGCATCTGCAAAGAACAAATGCAACACTCATGTACTTCAGTGGTTTGAAAATCTCTTGATGTTCTCTTCTGTTTATAGGATTTTTGTTCACAAGATTGTCAATAAGCACATTTTAGAAGTAATTTTGCATATGGGAATGCATTAAGTCAATATATACAGATACTCCCCTATATACCGTGTTTCCTCGAAAGTAAGACCTACCCTGAAAATAAGCCCTAGCTTGATTTTTGGGGGTGGGCTTAATATAAACCCTGCCTCAAAAATAATCCCCATTTAAAAATCAAGCTAGTGTGGGGGTGGGGTTGTGGATCTGTCCCACAGCCCTGTACCCACTTACCTCATAGCCAGGCCTCTCCTCACCCACCCACTTCTTCTGCAGCGTCTTCTGCAGCCAGACTCGCATTTCTCAACCACAGGCCTTTCCGGAAGGCCTCTGCAGCCGAGAACTGAGCTATGGATTGAATCCATTGCTCGGTACTCGGCTGCAAGGCCTTCCAGAAAGGCCTGACTGCAAAATGCAGGCCAGAATGCAGTTGCATAATGCAGCTATTCCTTTGGCCACAGAAGGTTCGGCTGGGTGGGGCTGTCGTTATATAAAAGAGTATAAAAGACGTCCACCCAAAATAAGACCTGGTGCCTCTTTTGGAGGGGAAAAAAAACCTAAGACCCGGTCTTATTTTTGGGGAAACATGGTACATTTTTAATAATACTGGAAAATTCTATTGCATAATTAGGAAAATGATAAATTTAAAAGACAATCTATTGGATTGTGTTCCCAATCTCTACTACAGAACACAAGTCAGTCTTCATAATCTTGCCAGAATATAGGTAGTCCTTGACTTTTTACCACAACTGAGCCCCAAATTTCTGTGATTGTGAAATGAAATAAAAATGCAGGATAGATATAAAACAAATTGAAATATTAGAATTAATTGTGGTTATTCAAAACTAGTAAAACACGGACAGCTTTTCTCTCTGGAATCACCCACCTTCCTGGGTGGAGATGGTCCCTTCTGCACAAGGAATACAACTGTAGCAGCAAACTGGTTTATCTTCATCAACCAGCTTGACAAACCCAGGCAAGCAACTATCCACACACCGAGACCTTGGCAGGGGCTAAAGTTAAAGAAAAGGAGCATTCCATGAAATAGGTGGAACTGATGTTCCTATGAAATTAGTCCTAAGATAGCAAGCCCCAGTGAAACTGCTGGCCCAAATTTTAACCTGCTGAATCTAATCAGAAGAACTAAAATAGCTGCAGGTGAAGATAGCAAAAATAGCAAAAATATTTGACATCAATCATTCTCTTGTGTCACAGAATGTTTGCTAAATGATGCTTTTTGGTCCTGATTTTACCTTTGATTAAATTGGCTTACTGTACATCTTTTTTTGAAGCCAGCCAAAGCACCACATCTTCTGGGAGCAAAGTACAAAATTTAATTACATGCTGTGTGAAAAAATGCTTCCTTTTATCTATTCTGATTCTTTCAGGATTCAATGTCATCGGCTGACCCTCGTTTTTTTATGCTTTGAGGTGGGGAAAGTAGCTTTTCTTTGTCCATTTTATCAATACCATACATAATTTTGTAAACCTCAGTAATGATCTCTTTCATACATCACATTTCTATGCAAACAACAACAACAACAACCCAACAACCCACCTCCAAGTGTGGCAACCATTCCTGATAGGGAAGCAGCTCCAGCCCTCTGATCACCTTAGCCTTCCTCCTCTGAATCTTTTCTAACTCTATTGTATCATTTTTTAAGTGCAGAGGGCCAGAATTGCACATAATATTGAATGGAATGGAATACTTTATTTGGTCAAGTATGATTACACACACAGGGAATTTGTCTCCTGGGCAGAAGGTCTCAGTGTACATGCAAAGCAACAGAGTAATGAAACCAATAAGAGGGGGTAACAGAGAAGGTGAGAAGGATAATAATAATACTGCAGTCACACTACCTACATAAATATACATAGACATTAGACAGAACTGTGACAATTAGGTGTTCAGCCCAGTGATGGCACAAGGGAAAAAAACTGTCTCTGTGTCTAGTTATTTTGGCATGCAATGTCTTATTGTGCTTCCTGAAGGGAAGAATTGAAACAGTTTATGTCCAGGATGTGAGGGATGTCAGTTGTGGAACATTCAGTAATCTCACCAAACATGCTCCTAAATCTTCCCCAAAACCTCCCACTTAATTCCTTTGCTTTTCCTCTCCTTTTTACGACTAACTTCTATTCAAGTTTCCTTCTCCCAAAGATGATTTTTTTTCATGAGGCAACTGGACTTCTTTGTTTTTCTTTGAAAACGTTTCACTTCTTATCCAAGAAGCTTCTTCAGCTCTGACTGGATGGTGGGGAATGGAAAGATTTATAGTCCCTGCAGACGGCTGTTCATTTGCATTCTTTTAGCGAGTCATTAATGCTACCTGGAGGCTTATCTGTGTCCTCAAGGTTACCTGAGTATCCTCAGGGTTACCGATGTGTGGAGCCTTCTTGGAACTGATGAAAGGAAGCTTCAAGCTTCCTTGTTTAGCCCTCTATGCTCCTCCTCTGCTCTGAGCAGCACTAGACAGTTGCAGGATAATAATAATAATAATAATAATAATAATAATAATAATAATAATAATAATAATAATAATAAAGTTGGAAGGGATCTTGAAGGTCATCAAATCCAACCCGCTGCTCAGGCAGGAAGCTCTAAACCATGTCGGACAAATGGCTGTCCAGTCTCTTCTTAAAAACTTCCAGTGTTGGAGCATTCACAGCTTCTGGAGGCAGGTTGTTCCACTGGTTAATTGTTCTGACTGTCAGGAAGTTTCTTCTTAGTTCTAGGTTGCTTCTCTCCTTGCTTAGTTTCCACCCGTTGCTTCTTGTCCTGCTCTCAAGCACTTTGAAGAATAACCTGACTCCCTCTTCTTTGTGGCAGCCCCTGAGATATTGGAACACTGCTATCATGTCCCCCCTCGTCCTTCTCTTCATTAAACTGGACATGCCCAATTCCAGCAACCGTTCCTTATATGTTTTAGCCTCCAGTCCCCTAATCATCTTTGTTGCTCTTCTCTGTACTCTGTACTCAGTACTCTATCAGAAGGCAACCTGGACATGTCTGTGGAATCATCTGTGGTCAAACAGACTTTTTGGATCTTCCTAATTTTGGGATCTTGATGCTGATAACAGACCTGAATGAAGTTTGTCTAGAGTCTTTAAGATTAAAAGCTTTTAACTGAGCCCTCCCTGACCAGTCTTAAGGCACACAATCAATTCTTTGGGGGCATGACTACATGGCAAAGAGCCATGCAGAACCTGATAAAATAAACATAAAGAACTCTTGATTCTGTAGCATCCTTCTGTCAGACAAGTGAAAAACTCAGTTGAGAACATGCCTCAGATATTAGGAAATTGCTTACAAAATGTGGGATATGAAAGAAATTAACTTCCCCACCTTGTTGACCTGCATGGACCTCATGATTGCCTTCTGATCCATCGTGAGCCTAAATTTGGCTTCTGAGCATCCCTTTCTTTCCAAACTCCCAATGGTCACTTTGATAACAGATTGATTGGAAAGCTTCACCCAGTACATGATGTCTAAGTCAGCTGCCAGGTCCCCTTTTTCATTCAAATATACTCCCTCCATAGAATTATTGTAATACTGGGCGATGCTCAGGAAAGGGTGAAGCTGAAAAGGACAAGCAAAATGAAAGAATTGAAGAATATAGAAAAGCAAGATGGAGATCTAAATTTTCCCGACTGCACAGATGATGATGATGATGATGATGATGATGATAGTAATAGTAGTAGTAGTAGTAGTAGTAAAGTTGGAAGGGACCTTGGAGGTCATCTAGTCCAATCCCCTGCTCAGGCAGGTAACCTTATACCATTTCAGACAAATGGCTGTCCAGTCTCTTCTTAAAAACTTCCAGTGTTGGAACATTTACCGCTTCTGGAGGCAGGTTGTTCCACTGATTAATTGTTCTCACTGTCAGGAAGTTTCTCCTTAGTTCTAGGTTGTTTCTCTCTTTGATTAGTTTCCACCCGTTGCTTCTTGTCCTGCCTTCAGCCGCTTTGGAGAAGAGCTTGACTCCCTCTTCTTTATGGCAGCCCCTGAGATATTGGAACACTGCTATCATGTCCCCCCTCGTCCTTCTCTTCGTTAAACTAGACATACCCAATTCCAGGAACCGTTCCCTATATGTTTTAGCCTCCAGTCCCCTAATCATCTTTGTTGCTCTTCTCTGTACTCTTTCTAGAGTCTCAACATCTTTTTTACATCGTGGTGACCAAAACTGGATGCAGTATTCCAAGTGTGGCTTTGTAAAGTGGTATTAATACTTCACGTGATCTTGATTCTATCCCTCTGTTAATGCAGCCTAGCTCTGTGTTGGCCTTTTTGGCAGCTGCAGCACACTGCTGGCTCATATTTAGGTGATTGTCTACTAGGACTCCTCTTCCTATAATTCAAGGCTGAGTTGAAGGGCTGAAGGCCATTCCTTGAAGTGAGCTCCATCCATCTTCCATTGGGCACAAAGCAAAGTGAAAAGCAACATGAAAATAATAGCTAGATTGAACATTCAAAATGCTCTCCAGATTTTCAAATGATCCATCCAGATATCTGGCAACCATACACTGCACTGACAGGAGAATTATATGAACCCTGGGCTGTGTCTTCTGAGTCAGGCTAGAGAGAGAAAGTGTTCTTCAAAAGGGAATTCTTTGAAGCAACTGATTGTGTCTCATCATTTTATTTGACATTTTCTGAGAGATTAAGTAATTATAGTCATACATGGTGTGGCACTGGGCAGAATATAGTATAATTCCCCATCTCCATAAAATCAAACAAGACAAAACTTAAATGCAACATTTAAATGTAACAAAATTATGTGAAATCTTAAGGAAATGTTAACTCACAAAACTGGGCTGTACGTTCTATGGTAGGGTACAAAAAGATTTATCCAAATGGGGTTTATTAAAGGATATGTGTCAGATCGGCCACTACTTAAACCTTTGAGTAGAAACAATCCTTGGCTCCATTTGTTTGGAAAGGTATAGCTTTATTAGAGATTAAGTGTGTTGCAGTATTAGAATAGAATAGAGCTGGAAGGGACCTTGGAGGTCTTCTAGTCCAGCCCCCTGCTCAACCAGGAGAACCTATACCATTTCAGACAAGTGAATGTCTAGCCTCTTCTTAAAAATCTTCAGTGACAGAATGCCTATGATTTCTGGAGGCAAGCTGTTCCACTGGTTAATTGTCCTCACTGTCAGGAAGTTTCTCCTTAATCCTATTGCATAGCCAGAACTGAGAATTGCATGCTAAAATCCCTAAGTCCTACTTTTCCCATCTCTAACTGTCCCTCGCTGCCCACCCCACTGTAACCAATCAAGTCCATGTACAATATTTTCATAACGGTCAATCCAAGCACAGCTTGGTATGCCGCTCCCTCCTTCTTCCAGCTGGATGACCTTGGAGCAGAGTCTCAAGGTGGCACAGTCTCTACTTTTGATTCCTTAATCATTCCCCCTCCTTATCTCCCCTCCCCAGAGTTCATGGCAGTCTGTCATGGCATAACAGAGAAGCACAGCAAGCATAAGCTGGCAGCTGACAATACGACCGTGCCTCATATTATTTACATTTCACTCATAGACTATATAAATTCTTGTATTAATTTGTTTGCAAGCTATACAAGCTGTGCTAGTCGAAGGTGACTCTGAACATCATAAATTTCCCCTCTTTATAAAGTCAAATAAAAACAAAATTATTTGTTTAAGCAAAATATCCATAAAAGGCCAAACATTCTGGAATGGGGGAGTGGATTCTCCCCTTCAGCAGAAATCTTTGTGATGGAAAAGGAAAGTACCTGCCATGGCTGCAATCTTTGAAGTCCAGATCTGTTTCCATTCTTCATGGCCCTTCTCTGGGATCCGAGAGAATAGACCATGTGTAAAGCATGCACAACGGTCCAGATGGTGTGGTAAATGTGGTAGCCATCCAGGGACAGAATCCTTTCCTGTAGCTCATGAGAAACTTTCCGCCATTTTTCTCTTTCTTTGCACCTTATCCAGCCTTTCACAGACAGGGCATGTTTTGTATAGGAACATGAAAATACTAAACCTGCAAATTTCTCTGTAAAAGCATTAAGTTTGGGGAAATAATCATATTTTATGTTTTGATTTGTCCGGCTAAAAAAGGAAAGAATACTATGGGTGTACTTGAAAGATAAATCACTATATGACAATGGCAAGGTGAGGTCCCAGAAAGCTGTTGTGATCCAAACTTTTCCCACAACAGGTTTCTCCACTTGGCTCAGCTTGATTTGGGCAAGTGCTATTCCATATGAGAAGGTTAAGGCCTCGGCAAAGTAAAGAAAGACATTGACTTGACTCCATTCATGGAGAAGTCCAGGATGGTAGACATTATCCTTAAGACTCACTGAAATGGTTTGGGAGAAAACTACACAGATGCCATTCTGGACTAGTATGGGTGTGAAGAGTCTCATGAATTTCTCTCCTTTTTCAGTATCTGCAGCGAGGAGTCCAATCAACGTCCACCCGAAATGTTGGAGTATTTTGACAATCCCTGGGTACTCATGTGGTTCTTTGGGGAAAGTTGAGTAAAAAAAAGGGAATCGTTTTCTGTCACTCAAAACCTGGGAAGCAAAAGTATAACTGACCTGAAAAAGAAGGGGAAAAGTTAACATTTTTTCTCAGTTCAAAACCAAATTATTGATTGCCCAAAATTCTGATTAAAGATCTTTGTCCTTATTAATGACTCAGACTTCCATTCTTCTGAAGTTGGTCAAATGAGGAACCAGATAGTTGGGGGCAATATGCTGACATTGTAAACTGCCCAGGGAGTACTATAAAGAACTATGGAGTGGTATATAAGTATAACTGCTATTGCTATTTGTTCATTTGTGGCCATTTTGAGGAAGGACAGGGCTTTGTTCCAAAGAAGACTTGCAGAATACTCCTTTGCTCAGGCCCTGCAACTCTCCCGGCCAGCCCTAATATTTTTCTTTTACAAATATCCAATCAATTTGGACAAAGGCCTTGGAACAAGAAACTCATCTGATCCATATCTAATTCAGATTCTTGAATCTTCTCCCCAATTTGGACAAAGGCCTTGGAACAAGAAACCAATTTGGACAAAGGCCTTGGAACAAGAAACTCATCTGATCCATATCTAATTCAGATTCTTGAATCTTCTCCCCTAACTCTTGGTACCTATCATGGCCTTTAGGAACTTTATCCCCTTTCAAATGACCAAACTATCATGCCTGCACAGATCTACCTGTGGGATCTTGAAGATGTTCAGCATGGTTGACATCTGAATGGACATGTCCGAATCAGCTCCTTCAAGGACCACCAGTGTGTTTCTCCATTTTCCACAGTTATAATTTGGAATATCTGCCTCTCCCTTTGAAAGCAGGTCCAATAAAATTTCCGAAGTCACCTTTGTGTTAAAATAGTTGTCATGAATATTATAGCCCAAGGTGACATTGGCTAAGAGTTGGGGATTCTGGTTAATCTCCTCAATGGCAAAAAGGAAGGACAGGGCTTTCCAGTACATTGTGGAGCCTTTTCTGCAAATATAGGTGGATCACATTTTCATCCTGCATTCAATCAGAATGACATATTTAATGAGAGCTCCTCTGATTCTAATACTAATAAGAAAACTTGGTCTAAACCACAGGATCTAATTTCTAACTTCTGCTTGGATTGATTTACAAACCAGATGCATTGCAAATACCAGTTGTTCACTATAGAGAGAACTGGAGAATCTTCATAAAGAAATCAATTCTACATCTTCTTTTCAGTCTAAAAGCACAGAGCTGACAAAGAATTTTCTCACAAACAAACTCTCAGAAAACAACAAAAGAGAACGATGTAAAGCAGATAACTGAGCATAAACTAGAGGAAGGAGGTCCAAAGATGAAATTTAATAATGGAAGGAACTATGATTTAATCAAGGTGGAGAAAAACATGCAGGAAATATTAGACATGGAAAAGACAACTTATACCTCAAGATTGCAAAATAAGTCTAAGGACAAGAAAAAAGATTCGATAAAATGGATTACAGAACTGTCAGGAAAACTATAAGACCTTGAGAGACAAAAAATGAAGGAATATGATGGGGCGAAGTATCCCCACAAAAACACCTTACTTGATTCATCTCTTGTACTTACAACAATATTTACAAAACTATGGGAAGATCTTTTGGTTCAGTGGAGCACACTGATTAGGAAAGGCTAAAGTTAAAATTAAGACATTAGATGATGGGACTTATCAGATGGAATATTTAAAGATTAAGCACTTGTTTGAATATGGTTAAAGAAATAAAATTTGGGATATAAATGAATTTTAGTTTAAGAGGGATAGACTTTTTAAGGGAAATATAAAAATGTTGAGATGATTTATATGAGGGAAAGGTTTTAGATACTTAAGTATAATGGATTTTGAGAAAATCTTAATAAGAATATTTTGAATAGTTTTAAAAGATTAGCTTTGGATTTATTAGATGGAATACTTAAAGATTAAATATTGGTTTGAATATGTTTAAAAAGAATATTTACATGATCTGTTATGTTGCTCTTCAATAAAAGAACTTTAGCTTCAGCCTATTATAATTTTGCAACCTATATGGGGAACAAAACAAAGAAATCAAATGACAAATAAACACTTAGGGTCACTGTTGGAAAGAAAGAAAGAAAGGTGTCATCCTCAAGATCAAGGAAGAAAGAATTACACAGGCTTCAGTAAAATATACTTAATACTAGCATTAGGGATAAATATGTCAGGGCATGGAAAATTTTGAATGGTTTCTTCCCAGGTTTCTTTCCACTTAGGCTGAATTTATCAGATGAGAGTGGCGTCCCCTTCTACATTTTGATTGTTCATGTCTAACCTTCCTTCCATGACAATCTCACAGCACAATCACTCTCACAAAAGAAATGGAGATGCTTGTACCTTTCTCCCATTCAGGGTGACTTACTCATAAAGTTTAGCAGAAGGAGCCCTGTTGAACTTGTAGAACAGAAACTTTGCAGTTGTAGCAGAAGTGATCCCGCTGATGAGATGGTCTTCTGATCTGTAGAAATTCAATGGCTTTACTTCATCTGGCACCAAATGCAAAGGACACTTAGCCTTCAGCACCCCACAAGTTAGATGGGGCAAGAGGAGAAGAAGAATCAATAGGACCATAGTTGATATGTTGAGCAAAGTCACTTCTTATCAGGTATGTCTAGAAATAATGAAAGGAGATTGAAATAAATTCTCACCCCATACATCTGCTTGAGGAATAAGTGGCAAAGAAGGCATTTAAACACCCAGACTTTCTAGCAGAAACTATCACTTCATATTGTTTTTAAGTCTGTTGTTTATATTGAAGGCAATCATTGGGGAAAAGATCTGGACAATCAACAAGAACACAACCAAGATATAATTAATTATAAGGGGAAGCATCACCTCTGTAAAGTTCAGAACTTTGGATGATGTCATGGGCTAAGACACAGCTGGAGAAATTGCTGATGCAATTCTTGCCACTTTCAACTTTTTCAGTGATCCATCTTAATAAGAATGGAGTTCCAGAGATGCAACAGTAGGGCGAACTTTGTTTCACCAATGGATTGCAGGAAGCCTTCCAGATCCATAGCATAAAAAATTAAAAGATGATGGACTTCATCCCCCACTACATACCCCCACCATGAAGACAAAGGACTACAATATCCTTTGCCTTTCACAACAGATGCGAGGTTCCTCCTTTATTTATTATATATGTGTTCAGGTAGTCCTTGACTTACGACCACAATTGAGCCCAAACTTTCTGTTGCTAAGTGAACCATATATTAAGTGAACTTTGCCCCATTTTATAACCTTTCTTGCCACAGTTGTTACGTGAATAATTGCAGTTGTTACATTAGTAACATGAAAGGTAAGTGGATCTGGCTTGCCTATTGACTTTGCCTGTCAGAAGATCACAAAAGCAGATCACATAACCCTGGGACACTGCAATTGTCATAAACATGAACTCATTGCCAAGCATCCAAATTCTGATCACGTGATCGAGGGGATGCTGCAACACTCATAAGTGTAAAAAATAACTCCCTTTTTTCAGTGCCATTGTAACTTTGAACGGTAAATAAATGAACTATTGTAAGTCAAGGGCTACCTGTATAGAATTTTCCCAAGTATCAATATCAGTTTGAACACTCTGTCTTTTGATAGATCTTTTTAACTTTTTTACACTTATTGTAGTAAGTGTCAACTCATTCAACTCATTTCTATTAAACTTATGTTTCTTCACAATTTCCTGATAGAACATTAGTAGGTTTTCCTTGACCTTTAGAAAAAGATCAAGTTTTTTTTAAAGAAAAAGATAGTCTTTCCCCTCTCTTACTGACCTGGATTTCCTAGCAAAAATCTAGAACTAGATTATTGCTCCCAAGAATTCTTGGAAATATTTATGGGAATTTTTTCAAGAACTTTTCCAGTTTAGTCTATAGCAGTGGTTTTCAACCTTTCTAATGCCACGACCCCATAATACAGTTCCCCATGTTGTGGTGACCCCCAACCACTTATACATCACCGGGTGCCAGGGGCGTGGCCAAAGAAAAGGGGGGGAAATGGCAGACAGCCTTGTTTGGCGACCCCCATGAAATGGTCGTTTGACCCCAAATGGGGTCCTGACCCACAGGTTGAGAACCACTGGTCTACAGGTATGTAATTCTCTAGTGGTGAATTTATTTAATCATTATGTACATTTTGAGGGTACATCTGATTAGAAGGCCTTAAAACCATCTATTCCTATGTAGTCTCCTGAGATTAGTTTTCTGCCTAAAACCCAATGGACTTACAGAGAAGTACTGTTTTTCTATGTTCATATAAAACACTAGATAACTAATCTACTTGGCATCCTAATGGACAATCACTTAAATATCAGCCAGCAGTGTGGCATCAGCCCAAAAAGTTGATGCAATCTTAGGTTGCATTAACAAAGGGATAGAATCAAGGTCATGTGAAGTACCGTGTTTTCCCCAAAATAAGTCCCACACAGAAAATAAGCCTTAGCCTGATTTTTTTTTGCATGAGCCCAATATAAGCCCTATCCCTAAAATAAGCCCTAGTTAAGAGCCCACCCACTCCATCTCACTGTCTGGTTTCTTACTGCCACAACAGGGCAGGAGAGAGCACATCACACCGGTGCTGCCACCACAAGGTGAGGCGAGGCAGGTGGGGGGCTGGAGCTGCCTCAGGGCCCCTGCATCCAGGCCACTCCCCACTCAGTGACCTCTGCCCATATGTTCAATATGCTGCCAATCTGCCTCTTCCCTTTCACACCCCTCCCGAACAGGACTACCATGCTATAGAGCAGGCATGTCAAACTCGCGATGTCACGTGACATTGCGTGACGTATTGGAGCTTTTTCTCCATTGCCAGCAATGGGGTGGGCACGGTTTTGGGATGACGCGTCCAGCCCGTGGGCCGGCAGTTTGACAACCCTGCTATAGAGGATGGGCGGAGTAGGCTCAGTTGCCTTACCTAGTCCCCCTCAACCATTTCAGAGCCAGGGGAAAGTGATAGCAAAAGGCTCTGCCGCCGCTGTGCAACAGTGAATCTGCTACTGGAGGGGCTTTCTTTGGTCCCAGTTGCCCCCACTTCACCCCACAGATCACCTGCCCAGAAGCAGCCACTGCCTCCTTCTCCTCCCCCAACTTTCCTGTGGCTTGCGCCCTGATCGGCCAGCTCCATTTCCAAGCACCCCATAGACGCTCAAATACTTTTCACCCAGACAGAGAAACGACAGAACTGGAAGCTTCATCTGCTTGCAAAAGGAAAGAGTGTGGCAGGCGAAGGGAGGCAGCAGGGGAGGCTTGCGCCAACCGGTCCTTCGGCTTCCTTGGCCTGTCAATGGCGCTCTCCTCCTCGCCTGAAGGCACGTTCTGCCAGTACTGCCCTCACCTCCCGAGTGTCTGCTCTGTGAAGCCCTGTAAGCCATTGCCATCACGAGCAAGGAGGTCAGATATCCCCTTAAAATAAGCCCTAATGGGTCTTTTGGTCCAAAAATAAAAATATAAGATCTGGTCTTATTTTCAGGGAAACATGGTATTAGTACTGCTTTATAAAGCTTTAGTAAGACCACACTTAGAATATTGCATCCAGTTTTGTCACCATATTATAAAAAAGATATAGAGACTCTGGAAAGAGTGCAGAAAAGAGCAGCAAAGATGATTAAGGGCCTGGAGGCTAAAACATATGAAGAACAATTGTAGGAATTGGGTTTGTCTAGTGAAAAAAGAACTAGTGGTGACATGAAAGCAGTGTTCCAATATTTGAGGAGCTGCCACAGAGAAGAAGAGGGTCAACTATTTTCCAAAGCACCAGAAGGCAAGGCAAGAAATAATGCATGGAAATTAATTAAGGAGAGAAGCAACCTAGAACTAAGGAGAACTTTCCTAGCAATAAGAACAATTAACCAGTGAAACTGCTTGCCTTAAAAACTTCCAGTTTTTAAGAAGAGACTGGACAGGAATGGTATATAGTCCCTTGCTTGAGGAGGGGGATGGACTAGAA